TATTATTATTATTTTAAGCAAGAAATAATTTCCCCTTTACCCTACGACCTTGCTCCCACAGATATCATTTTGGTTTGATTATTTCAGATTTTCATCAGTGACCCAGGGGTGAACTGATGGAGGTGACAGAAAATGATGAAAACATTCCTCAGGGAACATAATTCAGACTGGAAAAGAGTGACTCGAGACTCACATCTAGATTAATTGAAACTCTAGGTTTAAAAAAAAAAAAAAAAGCCCCAGCATTTGAGACTTTGATTCGGTTTTTTTTGTGTATGGTGTGTGGTCCTGAGAGCCTGTCGCACAAGCCCTCGGGGCTCCTCTGCTGTGTGATTGATGCTGTGTTGCCTTGGGTTAGAGCCTGGTTGCAACCATCCCTCCAAAACCCTCATGCAAGGGGGTGGGAGTGGGCCCAGACATTGCCCAGCCCAAGCCCAGGACACCCTGTTGGTTTCCATGGATGCGCTGGAGGACCTCCTTGCTTCAAAATGCCCAGTCTGCCTTGGCCTCCCCCCATCATCCTGTGTGAGCCTCAAACTGTTCCCCACTGAGCAGCCACCTGAGTCCACTCTTTCTTGGCCTTCCTGCCACCTCAAGGGGCCCTGGCTGGCCCAGACCATACACGAGCACCGTGGCTCCCCAAGACCAGTGCTTCTCCCACAGCCCTCACCTCCTCCTAGGGCTCCTGCTGCTGTCCCTTCCCACAGATGTTAGGTGAGTGGCAGCTGCAGTGATCTAAATACCTAAAGCATCCAAAACCATTCCCGTTCCTTCCTGGACAGAAATAGGGCTGACCACAGCTTGTCCGGTGTCATCCGAAACCTCTGCATGATTTCTCTTTCCCTGCACATCCTCCTGCTCCTGCTCTCTGTGCCTCCCACCCCTGCATCCCTGTGAGCTGCTTCTCTTGTATGCTATTCGCATCCTAGGGTAAGATATTTGTTTTGATTTGTTGCAGAATCATGGTCACTGCTGGGGGCATCTTCACACTCTAGAGTCCTACTCCCCTCTCTGTCCCTTTATTCTTGACCCCACCTTTATTGCACCCAAGGAATGTCTTGCTTTAGGGCAGAATGGGCAGTTCATCCACACTTGGAACCCCCAAGTTCTGTTTCTACCTCCAACAGGCTCTTCAAGGAATTCCTTAACATGAAGGCTGCTCTGTCGGTGACAGGTCTTCCAGCAGATGCAGTTATTCCTGTTAGGGTACAAGAGGTAAAGAATACATCTTGAGGAACAAGGGTCCTTCTCCTGGCCATAGAAGGAAACAGGGACTTAGCATTAAAGAGACCCTGGAAAGCCTGGATTCATGAAGGTGGAGCCCAAGTTCCAAGCACAGAGAGATGTAGGATGTGGTCTGTCCCCAAAAGGCATTCCTGTTGGCATTCAAGAGGAAGGCCTTGGGCCACACGGGAGGTACCTAATCAGCTTGAATCCAGGGAGGTTGGGAGGCTCCTAAGCCAGTCACCCGGAGGTGCTGAGCCACAGGATGGAGTGGGGCACAGACAGAGCAGAGGCTGAGGGTGTGCTCCTTCCCACCACAGAGGACCTGGCCTTCTCAGTGGGCAGGCGCAGTGGACCTTCATGCCCTTTTTCTTCGTGAGCTCTGAACCACCACTTTATGGACCGCAGTGCTGGAGAGCAGCTCGGGAGGACTCAGACACTGCCCACACTGGCCCCTTAGGAGCCGCCCTCCCTTTTCCCCCTAGACTGTGCAGACCGCGTCCCAAGAACAGGCCTTCTCCAGACTGTCGGTGGTCAGTTGTGTGCTTTGAAACTCTTTCTTGTTGGTGACTTTTGTTGCTGGGCCCTCACCCGTGCTTGGAATATCCCTTTTCCACTTTAAAACTACAATAGACTAACAGACTCACTGTCAGTACCCTTACAATCCTGGGAGGATCTCACAGCAGCCCAGAGCCTCAGTGGAATCCAAGCCCTGTCACTCACCAGCCATGAGCTCCTAGACCGTTATTCAACCTCATGCCTTGGTTTCCTCACATAGTTGTTTTGGACATTAAATGAGGTAACCCATGCACGTGCTAACCAGCGCCTGCCACTTATGAGTGTTCACATATGTGAGCCGTTGCTCTCACTACTGCTGGACGTTCGTGAACTGTCAGGAGAGCCCTTTGAGAGGAAGAGTCCACAAGATGTTCAAGTTTTCCTTTATTTTAGCTAGCACTGCTTCCATGGTACAAAGTGCATGACATTTATGTTAGGTACAGGCTAATGTGAGTGTCAACATCAGGACAGGTTGAGGCTGAGAGTTGATTAACAGGAGGAGAAAGTAAGTACATGGCCCTGGGCAGGGAAGTTGAGTCAGGAGAGGGGAGCAAAGGAAGGGCCAGAGATCTGTCTGTCCCTGTGCACTGTTCAAGTGGAAGGGTTTGTGCTGCTAAGATGGGGCAGTGCCTGTCCACCTCCAACCCCCAGCACACAAGGTGCAGACCTCTGGGTGGGTTCCCTTGCTTCATTGAACGTGTGTTGAAGGGGTTGTCTGAATCCTGCCCGTCTTTCCCTGGCATCGTCTGGTCCCTCCTTCCTGCACAAAGAGTCCTCTGAAAATCCCACCTGCAGTCCTTGCCTGGGAATTCCCAGTCCCAGGCGTCAACAGGGCCCTTGGAGTCCTGGCCGGCTTCCTCACTTGTGCTTCTGTTACTTATTTTTCCCTGTGTGGACAAAAGCATCCTGGACACATGTGGAGCATAGTAACTTAGGTGTGACAGTCGCCTGTTTACTGACAGTTGCTCTGTGCTCAAAAGTGGGTATGATGATTCCTGACCCTTTAAGGATACAACTCAGCATGTAGGGGGTTAGAGGTCTCTATCAAGTGTTCCTTTCACTTTCAGAAGAAACCACATAAAAAAAGGAGGATCTTTACAGGTAGACTTTCTTTTTCTCACGGATCTCTGGAGTGGCCGCATGGTAGCGCTCAGGCCTTAGAAGCAAAACCACTAGATAGATCCCACCTCTGGCAAACTTAATAGCTGAATGGCCCTTGAGAGACTTAGTCTCTCTGAGCTTCAACTACCACGTTAATAAGGTCTATCTTGTAGGGATATTATCATTCCTAATGACGTCATTAAAGAAGTTGGGGCCCAAACATAGCAAACTCTTAGATGGTAGCCATTTAGCAGGTCCCCAATATTTGAGGGAAAAAAAAAAGCTTTAAGAGTGAGGACCATCCCCTGAGCAGAGTCTGCTCTGGCTTGATCTCATGGTCAGACCCATTGGCTCCCTCTGGGGTGGATCTGCCGGACTCTAACTTGGATGCGCACTGCCCGGGCATCTGCCCTGCATTGCCTTTCTTTCCTACCTGGAGCTTCCTCTCGGTCATGCTCACAGCAGTGTTGTACCTGATGCTGGCCACCTTCATGCCTTGAATTCCCTTACTGTCATCAGCTGTCCCCAGCCTTGGAACTGAGTCGCCCCTGCTGTCAGCACCCCTGCAGGCTGGCTGGGTGCCCTCCCACCTCTTGAATTCTCAGCACTCGCTGCTCCTGCTTCCCCTTTGGCACATAGTCATCTTTTTAAAAATTTTAATCATTTTTTTTCTTATTTTTAGAAGTCATTATTGCATAACAATTGTGCCTGGTAGGTGGGATTCACCGTGACATTCATACATGACATAACAGAGCTTGGCCAATTTCTTCCCCCAGTGCTTCCCCTTTACTTCCTCTTCCCTCCTCCCCGCACCTGACCTCCCTCCTCTCCTGTTCTTTCTATTTTTCTGAGATCCCTTTCTTCTCTCTAGCTTCCTTGTGTGGCCCTCGACTTCTGAGTCTGGCCTATTTTGCTTAACATGATGATGTTCATTCATTTTTCTGCAAATGACACAATTTCATTCTTTACGGATGAATAAAATTCCACTGTGTATATATACCACATTTTACTTACCCACACATCTTTTGATAGGCCCCCAGGCTGGATCAGTAACTTGGCTTCTGTGAATTGTGCTGCTATAAACATGGGTATGCATATATCACTGTAGTATGCTGACTTTAGTTCTTATGGATAAACACCAAGGAGGGATATGCCGGGTCATATGCTGGTCCATTCCTACTTTTCTTGTGGAACCACCATACTGATTTCCATAGTGCTGCAGTCATCTTTATTGTTGTTTTGTTTTTATATGCATCGTTTTCCTCCTAGCTAATACCAGACAGCTCTTAACTCCTACTCTTTTCAGGATATAATTTATTGTGAAAATATGGTATGTATACAAAAGAATGTACATCAAAAAAAAAAAAAAGGTGTAGTGTTTTAAAATACCCACCACCCAAGTTAAGAAATGGAATAACACAATAGGGTGATCATAGGTAACAATAATATAGTATGTATTTCAGAAAGCTGGAAGGAGTTTCAAATTTTGTACCATAAAGAACTGAAAAAATGTTTGGGGAGATATACAACTTGATGTAACTATTACATGGTGTATAAATGTATCAGAAAATCAATTACCTCATTAATATGTATATTTTTAATGTTTTATGTATCAGTTAAAATAATTTTTAATTTTAAAAAAGAAACAGGGCTGGGGATGTGACTCAAGCAGTAGCGCGCTTGCCTGGCATGCGTGGGGCACTGGGTTCGATCCCCAGCACCACATAAAAATAAAATAAAGATGTTGTGTCCACCAAAACCTGAAAAATAAATATTAAAAAATTCTCTCTCTCTCTCTCTAAAAAAAAAAGAAAAAGAAAAAAGAAACAGAACACAACCAACACCTTGCAAACCCCTTTTCAGCCCTTCCTAATTATAGCTTCCCCTCCCCTCCTCAGGTAACCAATATCATCAAATATATATGGATTAATGTTTTCTAATCTTTAAACAGTACATGAATGCTCTTAACAGCATCTGCCTTGAAGTTTTGCAGTGAGGTCAGTTCTTTTCCAGCCGCTCCTATAGGATGGAAGGGGCCCTGACACAGCTGCAGCACAACATGCCGATTGTCTTCTTGTCAGTACTCAGAATCCACTGACCACTGTGTTTACTGGCAGGTTTGGTGCAAGTGCCAAGGTGGTGCATTTCCTGGGACGAGTCAAGCCGTGGAATTACACTTACGACGCCCAAACAAAAAGTGTTAAAAGTGAGTCCCACGATCCCACCATGACTCATCCAGAGTTTCTCCACCTTTGGTGGGACATCTTCACCACCAGCGTCTTACCTCTGCTTCAGCAATATGGCCTTGTCAAAGACACCTGCTCATACCTACATGTGGTAGGTTCTCTTTTTTTCCTTTCATGTACTTTAGTGCTGCACTCATAAAAATGAGGCCTAACAGTAGAGTTTGGGAATATTTAGTTGCATTTTAAACACAGAGATAAGGTTTTTTGGAAAGAAAGCAATGACCATCATCATGCAACATGATGATGGTAGATTGTGGAAAATTTCATTAGAAAGGTTTTTAGTTTTCTTTCTTTTTTTTTTAAATAAACACACATGTATATGTTGTAACTATAAAATTATTAGCCCATTATTCATAAAAAGACTCGAAGATCATGCCTGATGGAGTAAATTTATAGAGAACCAGGCCCTGGGGGTGGTAGAGGCTTGCCTGGCATGTGTGGGGCCCCGATTTGATCCCCAGAACTGTGAAAGAAGAGAATGCCTCATCTAGTGGTTTAAAAACTTCAGGTATTTAATTATATTTTATATTTGCCATCTGCTCAGATTTCAGTAAAAAATCACAATAGTATGAACATACAATAAATACTTTTCGCAGGCTATTTTGATTTCCTGTTTGTACTTCTAGTATATAAGCCCCTGAAAAAGAATCCCTTTGTAGGAAGGAGAGAACATGTTCCCATCTACAATAGCAGCCTTCTTTAGCATGTTTTCTGATTTTAAAGGTCTTCCTTTAAGATTTGTCCTTTGGACGAATTGAAATAAGATGAGAAATTAGAGGCCGAGTGTGGTGGTGCACACCTATAATCGCAGCAGTTTAGGAGGCTGAGACAGAGAATCAAGAGTTCAAAGCCAGCTTCAGCAATGGCAAGGCACTAAGCAACTGAGTGAGACCCTGTCTCTAAATAAAATACAAAATAGGGCTGGGATGTGGCTCAGTGGTCGAGTGCTCCTGAGTTCAATCCTTGTTACCCTTCACCTCCCCCCCCAAAAAGGATGAGAAATTAAGATGTTACATATAAAGTCATAAAAATTAGAACCAATGGGTAAATTACAATCAGGTAATCTGTTAATTACCTGACTAAAGAGATTATAATATTATGAGAGATTCTTTTCTATAGTAGCTTGGCTTTTACTCATGTCGCTATTATTTGTACCAAAATGTAGAAATGAGAAAGGGAGAAATAACGAACACTTTCTCTGAGTATTCTGTATGGATCATAGAATAACACTTGTACTGTAGTTGGAACGTGCCTGGTTCATAGTAAGTGCTTAGTAAAGTTAGCTGTATTTCTTTAACCCTTAGAGCTAGACTGTCAGTAAGTACTATTATTGCTAAAATCTCCTTCTTAAAGTAACTTAAGGCTTAAAGTAGGTAGTTACCTAACTTGTCTTAATTAACAGACTACAGTAGCAGGACTGGAACTCAAATCCAGATCTGAAAGACAGTTATCCTCACAGAAATTTGAGATGGACCTTCTTAAAGTGTACCTCTATTGCCCAGAATGAAGTGTAGCATTGTTAGGGCAGAGGATGGGAAAGCATAATTTAAATGGTAAGGCACTATAAATTCGATCCAGTACACTTGACTAGACCTCAAGGGCCTTTTTCCTGGGGAAGGTCCTTGGAATTGGGCAGAGTACTCCGGAACAGCCTCTCTTCGTCACTGCTGTTCCAAGTGAGGCAAAGGCAGGATCAAGTGTGATCCCTGTGTTGGCCCAGCTACCCGACGTGTGTTTTCCCAAACCCTTTGAAGCTCTAGTGTACTTAAGTACACACACCGACCCTTATGCTTCCGTATGTAGAGAGCAACAAAACAGGTGTTCAAAATTTGTTCCACCATTTTCTTTGTTAATAGTTGTGACTATTCTTATTCATTCACCTTCTTTTTCTCTCTGCTGAGATTTCCAGTGCCTCCCCACTCGAGTGCTCTTTGCAGGATGGCATTGGCAATCTTGTAGGGCACACCTGAAGACGTTGTCTCCCATATGGAATGTGAATCAGCCAAGCCTCACATAGAGTAGACTGGCCCCGTGTGCTGCCTCGACACTGTTCTTTCTGCAACCCAAGGACTGAGAATTATGAACCAAGGGAAGGTGAAGACAGGAATTGAAAGAATTGTTCAAAACCAAATTAACAGAAACTACAGGAATAGATGTTACTTGGTAATCCAGATGAAAGCTTGAGCAGGCAGAAAAATGTGGTACATAGTCCCAAGCCATTCAGCTGTGCTTACAAGTGACAACCTGTGTACCTGATGTGGCTCTCTGGGCAGGTTCCTCAGAAACATAGCACTAGGTATCATTTTTGTTTAAGTTCTCAACCTTTCCGAGCCCACAGATTGAGGACTGATCATGAGACGTGTTCCTTTGTCCACCCCTCTTACGCTTTCTAATGAACTGTTTGCAGCTCTCAGACTTGGTCTATACACTGGCCTTCTCTTGTGGCTTCTGTAGAAAGGTATGCAGAACTTAAACCAATTCCTTTGTTCTCCCAATGTTTTCACTGAGTCAAGAAGTTTTCATTTCGTTAGGAAAAACAACCATACGACCCTTGTATCTTTGTGTCTTTTTTGTTTGTTTCACGTAATGCTTTTCAGTTTTTGCTATAATGCATGATAATTCATCCTGGCTTTTCTCACATACTTCACTTTATTGCATTCTTGAAAATCATCTGACTTCGGCTCTCAAGGACTCTCTGTGCTCTCTCTTTTAGGAACATGTCTCAGGAGCCGTATCACATATGTCCCTCGGAGAGAGCCCAGCTACACCTCAGCCCTTTGTATCCTCAGAGGAGCGGAAGGAGCGGTGGGAACAGGGCCAGGCTGATTACCTAGGAGCAGATTCCTTTGACAACATCAAGAGGAAGCTGGACACTTACCTCCAGTAGCAGCGTGGCCATCCTCCTGTGGACACAGCCACTTCACAGCCACCTGTTTCTGACACTTAGCATCTAGAGTGGGCTGAGAAGTCTGTTACAGTTGTTAAGGCTTTCACTAAAACTCATCAGACAAGGGCTTCTTGCAGGACGACAGGTGAGAACTAGGCAAAAATTGTGAAGTTGTCATTCTGTTATGGACAGTGTTCTGCTTTGTAACCCTAGACTTACTTAGCTAACATTTCAGAAATTCGCAATATGGCAACTGCCAACATACGTGGTAGGGGAGGCCCACTATTGACATTGAGATGGCTGTTCATCTCAAGTGTGCAGAACCAGGCTCCACACCCCTCTCCCTCCAGAATGGGATGTGGCATCTGCCCCTTGCTTGCTTGTCACACCCTGCACTAGATGTGCATTTTGCAACTGTCCAGAGGCTGCCAGAGTGATACTTGTGCTTTCAGGTAAAGGCAGCCTTTAATAACACTGCCCTGTGACTCATGAACACATCGACAGGTGGCATCAGCCCGCCTCATCTCCTAGTCCTATTGTCTGAATAGTTCACAGTTTTCCATGCACCGTGAAGGCAGCATGCTGAAGCTTTTGTTCAGTTCTGTATATCTGAAAATCGCAGTGTGTTCTCTGATGGTAACCTGCAGTAGCATCCTGTATGAAAATAAAGACTTACTGCCATATCTTGGTTGTTTAATTAAGTATTTCCCCTACCTCACTCTCATAAAAAAAAAAAAAAAATCAATTTGAGAATTTTATAATTTATAGAATTTGCCAGTCTCAAAAAATAGTGTAAAGCTTGACATGGGTAAATGCATTTAAAAGTATTATCGAAGATATTTAAAGCTAATGTTCTCCAGTGGTGGTGATGGGTCTGACAGACGAAGGAAGGTGAGATCAAATTTATCTCGTTTGTCATCCACAGTGCATCCCCAGGGGGTGTCCAGGGAGAATACTGTAATCTTAAAATCTGTCTGTTCCAAACACACTCAGTAATCGCTCAGGCTGTCAGAATCTGTGCTGGACCAGTACCTTCCAGTTGTTTTTTTCTTTTTTTTAACTCAGAATAGAAGTGTTAAATCAATTATTAAGTTTACAGATGTTTCTGGGATGCAGAGGACATACTCAATGGAGAGGATCCAAAATGGCCTTTAAACATAAAATGAGTAAGCAGCATAATTCAGGAAAGAATATGACAGGAAGAAATTTGAGGTTTAATGAACCACAAGTTGCAGTGCCTTTTTTGTTGTTGTTACTGAGGATTGAACCCAGGGGTGCTTTACCACTGAGCCACATCCCCAGCCCTTTTTATTTTCAGACATGTTTTCACTAAGTTGTTGAGAGTCTCGATAAATTGCCCAGGCTAGCCTCCAACTTGTGATCCTCCTCCCTAAGCCTCCCAAATTGCTGGGATTACAGGTGTGCAACACTGTGCCTCAGCTGCAGTGACTTCTGTGACCTAATCTTCACAGTCACCCTTCTTTGTTTATTCTGGCTACTGAGATCATTCCTACTCCATGTGGATGAGTCAACAACCAGGTTTAGATACCTGGAGACTATGGGCCACCATGGAGGCTGGCTACCTGAAAAGCTTCAGAACCTGAGAATTTATCTAAACTTTACAGTATTGAATGACAAGTGACTTCTGAAGAGTCAACAGTTATTTGGACTGGTGGAGAGTGAGTTGCTACCATTTCCAAATATGTGAAACATTTACCAAAAATTGAAGTGTCTCCATGTGGCAGGTGGTATGGGTACACAGACCTCTATGGATGGCGCTGAGGCATAAGCAACTTCTGACTTTGGGGCTTCTAGGTCCCTGGTTGAGATGAACAGAAACCTAAGTCTTCAGTTAAATACCACCTTGTTTTTGTGGCCATGCAATGTGCACTCCAAATAAAGAGTATTAGAAGAGATAAAATTTGTGGCTGGGGTTGTGGCTCAAGTGGTAGCGCACTTGCCTAGCACGCGTGAGGCACTGGGTTCGATCCTCAGCACCACATAAAAATAAAGGTATTGTGTCCACCTAAAACTAAAATAAATATTTTTTAAAAAATAGATAAAATTCAAAGTTTTTTTAAGTGAGAAAAGATGTAAAAGCACCAAATGTTTTTGGCAGCCGATGTGGGGGCAGGGATCACACATTATGACTTGAGTGTATTTACTATCTTTTGTTCCTTAATTTTTTACACATAGTGTAAGAAATAAAGCTGTAAAGTGAAAGGCCTTACTTAAAATTTTTAATTAGTGAAGGTAATTAACTTTCATAATCAGAAATACTGACACATTGACATAGAAGACAGCATATAATATGCATAAAAGTGCGCCAGGTTGTAGCTGGGAAATCACTGAACTAGGTGACGGATTTCTTTTCCTTTCCTGCTCTTTCAAGAACAGGTCTTTAATTAGTATGAACTGACTTCTACACAAAGCTGCACAGTTCATACTTCAAGGACCACCCCCAAACACCAAGGGTTGCTTAGGAAAATGTATAGAAAGGCCACATTCAAATCACAGATGTGCAGTTTTACTCATTGTATACAGTGGGGGCACAGCAGGCTTTGGATGGAAAGACGAACTTCCCCATGAAGGTCAGATCTATCCTGTGCCTGACCAAGGTCTGTTCAGGAATGAAGTGAACATCTATTTAATTCTCTTTTGCCTGCATTTGTTATACCCTGGAAAGTCTTAAAGTGTTCAAAACTTGACATTAAAGTGAGTTATCATGAGTCAAACATCAAATCTGCCCTCATGTTTATGACTCTCATCTAAATGCTAGTGAAAAGAACTCTGGCAAGCAAGTCAAGTAGGAAAAAAACCACATGTCTTCAACATTCCCCAGCATAAAAACTTTCACAGTCTGAGGATAATCTCATAGGTATTCATGGCATTCTTTTCTTGATTTAACTATTTCCAGCCTAGAGTTGTAGTTTTGAGGGCAAAATATCTTCAATAATTTACAGTACTATGTGTATATACAGGTATTGTCACAACTCCTTTTCTTCTTCAGATGAGGGAATTAATCGGGACCAGTGTTTTACATCAGGCATTTTAAATTCGATATACAGTCTAATTTTGGAACAAGAATATTTGGGGGGGGGGGTTACCAGGGATTGAACCCAGGGGCACTTAATCACTGAACCACATCCCTAGCCCTTGCATGGCCTGAACAAAAATTGTAACCAGTTCAACTGAGCAGAATTCAAAAAGGTGGAAACAGGAATAAATTACTCTCACAGTACTTCCTACGCACTGTCAATAAAAATTATACAATATAAACACTTCACATAAATGAGATTTAATGTCATTTTATTCAATGAGAAAATAGTCATCAAAACTATGACACCAAGTAAGCTAATCAATTTTTGATATTTTTATTAATTTTAAATTTAAAACAAAATCCAGTTGGAACCACAAACTTCAGTTGGAACCACAAACTTCAGTTGGAACCACGATTGGAAATACAATGTTTACAATATATTTCTAAAGCTATTATTCTATGTAATAATAAAACAATTAACAGCATAGCATAATGTGAAGTTTTCATTCCAGTGGTTTATATATTTTCTTAGGATGAATTATTCTTTTTTTTTTAATTTAACACCACTTAATTGAACTATACAAAAACAAAACAAAACAAAAAACATTTTTAAATGACTTTCCAAACATCATTTATGAATGTGTTTAAAAAAAAAATAGTTCCTCACTGTGTGGGCAAAGCCGCGCTGTCTCTGCCTTCACCATCAAGAGGAGCAGTCTGGGGGATTCCCCCCCACTAAGAATTATTTATACTTGATTCTGCTGGGGTACTGGCACACACAACCCACCTGCCACATTTAATCAGAGTCTGATCCACCTGATTTTGTGTAATGCTAGAGCTAGCAGGTAAGGAACTTTCCTGGACTCCTAGCAGACCAACCCAAGTCATTACTCCACTACTGTCTCAGCAGATCCTCTCAGTCTTGATGAAGTCAGTCCTCTGCCTCACCTCTGAGAAAAGGGACTGGGGGTATTCTTGCTGGCTGATCCATTGCTACTCTAGACACAGGGAGGGGAGGGCTTAGCTGGCAGGTATTGGTGCACACCTCAGGTGTGTCCCCTGTGACCTCATATTGCTCTCATCTCTCATCTGTCAATCAAATCACCTCTAACACTGTAAGTAAGAGTAGGTGTTCTTAAGTCTGTATCAAACATGATGCATCTCTTAACTATGGTAATTTCTTCTTTGGATTGAAAAAAAAAAATCCCTTAAGGAAATAAAACCACTGAATATGTAAACCTGACTGCGCAACCTCTAGTTTATTTATTTTAAATGACTTGAGTCACCTAGAATTCTGTGGCAACTACTGTGAGTTTGCTTATTAATGTAAAAAAGTAAGAAAAATGTAAGGATGAATTACTTAAGTTCCAAAATCAAATTCTGATTTTAAACACACATAACAAAGAAATTTTTACATTCAGGATTAAGATGTCTTTAAGAGTTGAGACGAGTTTGGAGATCATCCAGCCCAACTTCCATCCAGACATCACGCCTCTCACATATAGTAGTCTTCTGAATTATAAAAATTTATAGTTATTTCCAAAAAAAAAAAAAAGGCTAGATAAATAAAAAGTACTATTTATAGAAATATCTATTTAAATTCCATAATTTAAATATTCAAATCAAATTGCATAAAACTGCTTCCCTCTCAGCCCCAGACTGTATTTACACCCTGTGTATCAAATTACATTTAAACAATGAAGTAGTACTAATTGACAAAAATGGAGAAAATAGTATTGTAACATAGTCCCTAATTTTTTCATGAACATAAAATTGCAAGTCACATGTGAATTATATCTCAATGAAGCTGTAAAAAAAAAAAAAAGGCAAGCAACTTGGACTTTGGTCTCTCATTAAGGTTTGGTTTTGGAATGCAAATTGTAGTTTTTCAAAGTCAAAATCAATCTCTTACAGTCTGTATATATGTATATATTAATCATTTACAAGGACTGGGGATCCACGCATCACCAATCAAGAGGTTCTGGTGAATAACCAAATGTGTCCAACACAGAAAATAAGTCTTTACCGGTCAAAAGTATAAAAGGTTTGACCTTATTGGAAATATGAAAAAGCTGAGTACTTGGAAGATATGTGAAAATACTCAGCATAGATACTATGAAAAGTTGAATAACAAAGTAACCTTTTTTCCAAAAAATTATTTTAGGCCACAGTATGTATCGGAACTTATTGCTATTTGAAGTATCATTAAAAATAGGTTCATATAAGAGATTATGTGTCAGTAATACCTCTTTACTAATATAAAATAGGCCCCTTTTAGAAGACATACTCTAGAGCTCATTCCTAAATCTCTGTATTGTTTCTCATTTTCAAAACTTAGTATCTGATCAAACTGACCTTACTAAAATCCCAAAAATTATAAATCAATTAGAGTTCGGATTTCATTAATTTTAGCTTGTTTCATTTCATTAGCATTCGATTTTTTTGTTCCAAAAGCTCCAGCTGCAAGTTCTCTTTTTGTGTTTTGTATTTTCAGCATATTTTCTTCAACAGAATCCTTCACAATGAACTTCCAAAAAAAAAGAAAGAAATTGGTTAAGTACTTTTAAAGTAATATTTAAAATCTTTAATAATAACCCCTATTAAGAACATCAAATGAACTACTGTCAAGACTCATCATGAAGGATAAATATGATAACAAGACTGCCCACTAAAAACAAAAAACAAATTCCCAGACATCATGAGAATGGTGGTATACTACAAAAGGATTTGTAATCTTATTATGCAGCTTTCAGAAAATGTGCAATAATTTCTAGAAAACTGTACAGCTCCTTATTCTTTCTCAATACGCCACAAGAACACCTAGAACGTGATGCAGGAGCACTAGAGCTATGCTCTGTTCTCCTGTACCACTGGGCATGGTTGTCTTATATGAGGACTATAGCCCACGGGACACAGGTGACATCTGACAACCCTATCAACAGATGAGAAAGAAGGAAAAAAACAACCTACAACTATACAAGCAAATCTGTCTTAACTAGAATAAAAGCAAAATGAATTTAACCTTATCCTAAAAAAGTTGCGAGAGAAATTTCTAGAAAGCTAAGAATGAGTCTTTATCCAGTATTAATTCATAACATTAAGCAAACAGGGAAGGGAAAAAACATGTACCTTCTCAACAGATGCTCTTAAGAAGCATCTGATAAAATTCAACATTTATTTCTGATTAAAAAAAAAACTGATTTAGTCTAGGAATAAGAGACATACTCAACCTTATTAAGGAAACTATTAAAAATTTACTAACAAAAACATTTAATATAAAACAAAGTATTTCCAACAAAAACAGAAGCAAGTCAAGTGCAGAAGTCCCAGTTACTACAATAATGAAAGAAGCTGTATTATAAAACTTTACTGGAATATGTAAGAGCTAAATAAATGAAGAAACTATGTTCCTATAGGGAAACATTCATTACTGCTAATGAAGAAATTAAATAAATTATTATCAACAAATAAATTATTATCCTGACCCTAAGTGTAAGAGTAGTAAAAGGAACAAACAATGTGATTTTTCAAATGAAGGGTAATGAGAACACTCTACCCTTTAAGGAACCAAAACATACTTGAAAAAAACCAACAATATTATAAAATATTGTCTTGAGAACAGGAAGAGATCAATGGAACAGAATGGTCTAGATATAGACCTACATATACATTTCATATTATTAGAAAAAAAGACTTAAAAAAAGAAAAGTGACCATACAAATGTTTTTTTTTATTTGGAAAAAGAAAAAAATTAGACCCATTGTCACCCAATACAAATCTTCCCAAAAAATCTGAAATAAGTCGAGAATAGTTTTTAAAATCTAAAGATAAAACCTTCTTTTCTAAAAAGACCTTAAAACCTAGAAACTATAAAAAAGGCTGACAGGTTTTAACTCATAAAAATTTTAAAGCTTTTTCATGACAAAAAGATCATAAGGTTTAGAGACAGGCAAGAAAGAGCCTGGGATAAGCCATTTCTAACATACATCACCAATAACTTAGAATGTACAAAGGTGTCCTTCATATTGTAAGACTACATTCCTGCTGTAACTGAAAACTAGCAAAAGATATAAACAAGCAATCCACAGAAAAACTATTAATGAATAGAAATGTGAATATGTTCAAGGTCTTAGGTAAATGCAAATCAGAAGGGCACTTTTTTGACCATAACATGAGCAAAAATTTCTACCCGTCTTATATATTAAAGTCTCTTTCGACAACAACTTGACAGATGTCAAATAAAAATTCTAAATCCAGAATTCTAGTTTTCTTAACCTATACTGAAGAAGTACTCATATATATGCACAAAAATGTATGTACAACAGTGCTCATCATAGCATTATTTTTATCATAAAAAGTGAACTAAATATTTAATATTCAGGTTTTAGGTTGGGGTTTTAGGTTTGCTCAGAGGTAGAGTTCGCCTACCATGTGTGGGGCACTAGATTAGATTCCCAGCACCATATACAAATAAAGATATTGTGTCCACTTATAACTAAAAAATAAATATTACAAAAATATTTAATATTCAGGTTTTAAAAAGGAATCAAATTCACAGAGACAAAGTAAAATGCTGGTTGCCAGCGGGGCAGGAGGGAGAAATGGGGAGCTGTGGCTTGAAGGGAGCAGGGTTTCAGTTTGAGATGACAGCAGCATTTTGGGGACGGCTGCATGACCACCTGGTGTGCATGTGCTTACTGCAACTGAATGGCACAGGTACAGTCATGGCTGAAGTGTCAGAATGTGCTGTGTGTATTTCACCACACTAAAATGTGTTGAACCAAATGGACTTACACAGTATAATGTTTAAGTAAAAAGAATATGTTGCAGAATAATAAAGTATGATCCTGTTTATCTTTGAAGTAAATTTTTAAAAAGTTGAGATAGATACTAAAAAAAAAAATGCATGTAAGTACAGGGAACAACATATTCTAAAAATTCATGGAGGAGAAGAGACTGAGTTTTGCTCTCCATAATTTGACTTCTATCACAATAATGTATTCATGTTATTACTTGCATAATTAAAAAAAAAACACATTCACATTCACTGTCTTAAAAGACAGGTGATTCAGAAACTCACTTTAGTGATGATAACTTCTTGCTTCTGGCCAAGTCTGTGGCACCTGTCAAAGCATTGGTCCTCGGCAGCAGGATTCCAGGCCTACAGAACAGGATTGGCTTTAGTATTGGGCTGCCGGGTGAGTTATGGTTAGCCCTTTCATTTCAGCAACATGCACCATCTTTTTTCTGACTGAATTCATAATGCTGACACTGCAAATGTACTGAAGGAAAAAAGTCCACTTCCCCAATCACTCTGCTGAGAGGCAGGCATTCTCCTGTGTCACCTCACTCCACTTCTAATACTGGCTGAGTATCTCTTCGCTGAAATGCGTGGGACCATAAGTGTTTCAGATTTTAGTATTTCAGATCTGGGAATATTTGCAAAGACTTTACTGGTTGAGCATCCCTGAACCAAAATTCTGAGATCCAAAATGCTCAAATCCAAAACTTTTGAGTGTTGTCCTCAAAAAGAGTCCAACTCCAGAGCACTTCAGATGTTTCAGATTAAGGGTACTCAACCTGCACCCTAAATACATGGCTTAGCATGGATGTCAGCACCCAATTAATCAAGTAATTTCTGATTTTTTCACTTTAAAGTGGGTCAGAGTATAAAAGTTTATACATTCTCTTAGATGACAATTTATAATAGATGCAATTCTTGGGCCCATTTATGAAAATGTTTTCTCACCCTCTGCTAGTCTTTGGTTCTTTTACTTTCCTCTATTCAGGAAACAAAAGTACAAAAAAAAAAAAAAAAAAAGATCCCTAAAAACTGCTTAAGATTTTTGATAAGGTTTTCTATATCTGCCTAAAATCAGTTTGACTTCTGGTTAACACCAACGTAATAAAAACACTGCTTAAGCTGAAGAAGAAAATGATGATGTAATGAAATGGAGGGAATATCCAAAAAAGATGGAGGTCTGTAATCTAGAAAGAGAGTAGTCAACTGGTTTTTAAATAGAATCACGAATTATCAAGGTAAGGATCACCAGGATGACTGCAGAAATTGAAAACAGGGTATTTTGGGGGAAAGGTACATTATACAGCAAATTATCAGCCGAAAACTAAAACAACATCAGATGAATATATAGATGACAGTTTTACAATATGATTTATACTTAGGCTAACTGTTCCTTTCTTTTTTAAGTTCCCTAGGGATCTGAGGAAGAGGATGGTTTTGCTATTGAGTTGTAATTTGAATTTGGGATGCTTTTTCAGTGTGGAAGTTAAGGACACACTTAGCTTATGATTTTCTAGAACTGATAGGTATGATATTATCTGAATATTTTGTATTTCACAGACACATTTTAAAATTGTTACAACCAAGACACCAAGCCAAATGTCTTGCTGTTGCACCTATTTTATCTAGCAACCTAAAGACAAGCTGGCAACATACATCCAATGTGACTATCAGAAATCCAAACTGATAGCTCCCATTCCCACATGTAGTGATTAAGTAAATAATTAGTCTCACCAGAAGCTCATAATGGACACTATATACCACCCCTCTTACACAATGTTTGCATGAAAAGGTAAAAGATTTTCACAATTTTTAAATTGAATTTTGTCTTCCTGGGATTTGATTTTTTTTTTAAAGTTAGAAACATTTTCTGTCCTTTGGTTGTTTTGTTTTTGCTGAACTGGGAGCTGAACTCAAGGGCATTTTACCACTGAGCTCTATCTCCAACCCTATTTATTTTTTATTCTGGGACAGGGTCTCACCAAGTTGTCCAGGCTGCCCTCAAACTTGCAATTCTCCTGCTGCAGCCTCCCAAGTTGCTGAGATTACAGATATGTGCTGCATATAGGCCAGAGAGTGTTTTTTAAAAGTATAACTGGTAATAATTGAGTGGTAATAGAGTGCGTTGGTGCATACCTATAATCACAGCAGCTCAGGAGGCTGAGGTAGGAGGATCACACAAGTTCAAAACTAGCCTCAGCAAGTTATCAGCCCCTAAGCAACTTAGTGAGACCCTGTCTCAAAATAAAATATAAAAATGGGTAGGGATGTGGTTCAGTAGTTAAGCATTCCTTGGTTCAATCACTGGTATCAAAAAAACCTTTATAATAATAAGTACTCTATTAATAACCTCTTCCTTATCTAGTACTAAGATTATATAAATAAGACAAAATAATTTGGGAATTTGTTCTAGAAAATTAAGGTTTTTGCATAAACACTGCATTAATATCAAACAATCTATAGTTATGGTGACTTTTTTGATACCAGGGGTTGAACCCAGGGGAACTTAACCACTGAGCTACATCCCATCCTTTTTTATATTTTACTTTGTGACAGGGTCTCACAAAGTAGCTGAGGGTGGCTTTGAATTCATAATTCTCCTGCCTCAATCTCCCAAGCTGCTGGGATTAACAGGCATGTATGTGCCACTGTGCCCATCGAAGCTTTAGTATGGCTAAGAATTAGTCCAAATGCAATTTAAAATCTCTGTCCTCAGATTGAAGAGGTCTTAAATAATAACCATAAAACTCACTCTAAAGCACTAAGGCAAATACAAACCTCTGCCAGCCACGATATGTGCCTATGAAAGCCTACATACGACTAGCTGGAATCTTACTGTGAAGGTCACCCTCAGTTGAGGGAAAAGAAGAGGGAAAAAGCTTTGGTATACAGGTACATGAATCAACTAAAACCTCACCAGAAAAAAAGATGTGTAAGATTCGTACACACAGTGAGTCTGCAGTTCAGACACCAGGTGAGACCACATTCTGCATCTCACAACACATAGCACAGGGCCGTCTGCAGCCCACACAGCACCCGGCACAAACCAGGGTCACATCAGTTCATTCCCGTGTGTGTTCAGAATGTGCTACTATGTGGACACCACCTCAGCCCAGCACTCAGACTTTAGCTTCCTTCCACTTCTAGGTCCGAAATGTACATCCACAAGTGACTGCACAACATTAGGCAATAATACTTTCTGCAAACACTCCATTAGTTATTTCTCCAATTGAGATCCCCGACCACCTGAGTTACCTGTGATCAATGTTAAGAATGCGGATTCCTGAGTCTTACCCAAGACCTCTTCAATCTGAAGACAGAGGTCTTAAACTGCAGTTGGACTAATTCTTAGCCATACTAAAGCTTTAAGATCACTATCACATAACAGGCGTCAGACTCCCATTGCCTGTACCACACCTTGACACTAAGCAGGGCCTCATTTCTCACAGGCTGAATGGACCGCTCACGAGTTCAGTTAGTAGGTATTTATTCTGCACACAGAAGAGAAGCAGAATAGTACCACATAACAGTACTTAAGAACACACACTGTGACTCTGGTGTTCCCTACTGTTAGCTGTGTGAAGCTGGGCAGTTTACTTCTCTCCTTCAGTTCCCTCATCTATAAAATAAGGATGTTATTTTCCTCATAAGAATGTCGTGGGGATTTTAGTTAACATATGTAAATCCCTTAAGAGAAAGCCCCCAATATACACATTTACTAAGCTATTATCTATTTCTAAAGTCTGCCTCAGAATCTTCATAATAATAAATATGAAGTATCTTCAAAAGAGTTTGTCTTTTGAAAAGCCTATAAAACTACTCACTGGATCCATTAAAAATACCCGAGAAGCTGCACAAAGATTCAAACCAACTCCCCCTGCTTTTAAGGACAGCAGCATGATAGTTGGAGAGCCTGCTTCAGTGTTCTGGAAACACTGAATGGACTCAGCTCTTTTCTTCTGGGCCATGGAACCATCCAGACGAGTGAACACAAATCCAGAGGCTCTAATAGGAACAAGGAGAGAAGTAACTCTTACTTTATTAAAAAAAAAAAAAAAGTTAAATAGTAGTTCAATCAATTCTTTCACTAATGTATATATGTGTCTACTTATTCTTGCAGTACTAGGGATCCAACCCAAGGCCTTGCACATGCTAGGCAATTGCCCTCCCACTGAGCTACATCCCCAACCCTAACTTACCTTAACAAACACTACGGAGGACCTACTAATATGCCAGCCACTGCGTTTTCTAATAAATTAGGGATCTGATCTTTTGAATCCTATGCTGCCACAAAACAGTCTTTTTTGTGACTCTGAACATCACTTCTGACAGATAAAATGACTAAAACTGGCAAAACATTAATTAAATATTTTTCTTTGATTCAAATCAATAAAAGTATATTAAATCCTTTGAGTCAAAGTGAAAAACACTGAACTCACTTAAGTGGTGTTTCTATTAGAGACAGGAACGTTGTAAACTGAGAAACAACTAAACTTTTTATGTTTGGATTCTTCTTTCTTAAGTCAATCAAAGCATGCATTAGAGCATTAATCTGAAAAAAAAAATTAAGATACCCATTAGATTCCACTTTTAAATGGCAAAATAAACCCCACATTCTTAAAATTTTTATCCTGTGATTGTACATATTAATAGGATTCAGTTTATTTCTGTACATACATATAATATGCACTGATCAAATTCCAAAATGTTGTCCAAAAAAGGTGCTGCCATGTTACTCAACTAAAAGGCAAAATGAGACTAAATTTTTTTAAAAAAACTAAAAGAATACTACAATAAACTGAAACCCTTTCTCTCTCCTCTGAAATTCACCACATAAAGTAAGCAAAAAATCAGTAGCCAGAAAAAGGAAATTCAAAAGACATGATTAAAAGTAGAATGACTGTTTGTTACATGATGTGTATTCTCTTATATAAAAAATACTCAAATATCTGTACACGTGTACTTTACCTTTGAACTGGACGTCCATTCCATATTGGACTTTTTCTCACTGTCACATGCCAATTCTTCTGGAGGACATTCTAATAAATTGTCTCCATGTATATCATTTCTGCATAAAGGGCATTTAGCATGTGGCTGTTTAAGAACAAAATAAGAGCCACAATGGTTAGAGGAAAAGAAATATAAATTTGCCTAAACATTTTAATAGATGACAGACTCTGTATCTCTTGTGGCCAGCACTTATATTGAGCCAGATTCAGTCACCTAAGGTAGATCTGTACATGCTGAGCTCCAGCCAGCATGTACAGATGGAAGGGTTCATGGCATGGGATGAAGAAAGAGGACAGTGAGAGTGTGTGGCCTAGGGCTGGGCTGGGGCTCAGCGGCAGAGCCGCTGGGTTTGAGGCCCTGGGCTCAATCCTCAGCACCACATAGAAATAAATCAACAAGGTAAAGTATTTGTCCATCTACAACTAAAAAATAAACATTAAAAAAAAATAAAAAGTATGTGGTCTTGACTGGCAGCAAGAGCTTGAAATGCTAAATACCACATCATTTGCAGGCAATTCTTATGACACCTTATATAGCTGTCCAGATCTGCCAACCACTATCAGGTTTGTTCAAAGCAACATCTGTTGTCTGTTATACTAAGACCTGCTAATAAAATTAGATTATATCTTAAATAACTAGATACAAATACTACTGCAATAAGAAAAGTTTCTGAAACTGAAACTCTTAGAAATCAGTATGCTAGTGTTACCTCTTGGGAGAAGGAAGATGGCAAAGGACTGGGAGGAGATACATGGATGTGTTTACCTTATGATAATTATAATTCTCTAACTGTACAACTGTAATTTATCCACTTTTTTTCTAAATGTATTCTACATGTCGAATCAAAATGTTTAAGAAAATCTGCACTAGCTGCAGGACTGCTTAAAAAGATTATTCTACCTCAAAAAAATTTACCACACAGAAGTATTTAGATCTACATTACCCAATATGATGGCAAATAATCACATGGATCAATTAAGCTTTTTAAATGAGCCAAATTGAGGTGATAGGTGTATACAATACCACCAGAATTTGAACATCTAGTTAAAAATAATGTAATATATCACATTTTTATTTTAGATATGCTGGATTAAAGTGTATTATTAAAATAAATTTCATGTTTTTTTCACAAAAAATATGGCTGCTATAAGATGGAAATTATCTTTCAGCCTTTCCTCATCAGTATATTTATCAGCAATGATCTAAACAGTACACAGAACTAGGATTACTGTCTGTAAAAAAGTGCCTCCAAAAAAAAAAATATATATATATATATATATATATATATGTATATATAATAGTTAAAAGGGAATAACAATGAGAAATAAATCATCTATGAAGATACTGAAATAATTAATCATCGAAAAGGTCATTATTAAATATAAGTCGAAACTTCTATTTCCTTGGAAATGGGTTTCCATTACATTAAAGAAAAGCCCACCACTCCATGCAACAGTGATCCTATACTGAACAAAATACTTACCTGCTCATTCTGAATGACCTGACAAATACAAGGTTTACAAAACACATGTGCACAATGTGTTATCACAGGAACTGTTAAAGAATCCAAGCAAATTGCACATTCTTCATCTGAACCTGAGCTCAAAATTAACTTCATCTTCCTTATTAACTTCTTTCTCAATTCTTCAGGTGTATCATTTCCTAGAGAAAAGGCTGAAAAATTAATTTCAGAGCAAGATTTATAACATGGCTAGACAAATTAATCTACCTTACATAAGGCAAAGTTCTGTTTGCAAACATAGGTAGTCTTTTCATCTGTTCTTGACATGGCAAAAGCTAGTTTAAATTTGAAATTTTAAGAAAAAGTCAGAAGACAAAATAATAGATGATTCCTACCAAACCTCCTATAGAAGCATCATTACAGCTTGATCTGATTACACTAGCAGACTAAAAGATCCAACTTGAACCTTTCATCTAAGGGTATCTACCACTAGAAATCCTGCAAGAACCTTATAATTCCCTTTCTCTGGTAAAAAGTTCCTGAGTACACACCCTGAGTACACTAAGCCCTTTAATAAACAATGTTCACAGGGCAAAATGAAACAATAAACCAAATTTAAGCCACATAAAAAACTTCTCATTCCAATTTAAATTACTTCTAACAAATACAATGGCACACCTCCAACATACTTCTTACCTGAGGAGCCACTGGAAGCCACTGCATTTGTAAGAAGGTGAGTGTGACAACAAATCTGCCGCAGTCTAAGCAGAAGACCCAGGACATCTGCATAGTGTGCAAGGACAGTTCCTTCATTAAAGTACCTGAAACAGAAACGTGTTACAAGTGAAATCCTCTAAACAACTTCTCTGGAAATTACTTCAAAACAAGAACAAAAGCCAGAAAAGCATACTTTAATTTAATGATACCAAGAGAGATTTGTTAACCACAGAGCACTACAGATGAGCAATGGCTGCCAGCTGTAGGAAAAGCTGGACAAGATGTTGAGGGATATGACCCACCAAACCACAATCCTTTAAAAGAGATGGCAGACTCAGGGTGCACACCTGGTGCCCTGAGCTTCTCTGCACACGTTTATACCAAAAAAGGAAGGCAAGCTGCACGAGGAAGCCCAGAAATGCACGACACGTGCGGGCCCAGTCCTCCACACCTCACAGCTCCAGGGCCTTGAATCTGTTATGTGCGCACCCAACAAAGAACCTAGAACAGATGTACATCCCCAAAGTAAACTGAAATATTTCCTGCTGTTCTGGCACACGGGTATGAACCTCACATGAACCTGGACTAGCAAATACTAGTTCAGTAAGAATTCAAGATACTTGAATGCTAAGTAATAATTAGCACAGAGCAAGGAAGGCAGCAAAAGGAAAGTCACCAGAGAAACACTGCCATAGAACAAACAAGAATTATGACCAAGGATACCGCCATGACTTCATGTCACTCAATAAAACTCTTCTTCCTTAAAAAGAATCCTAAGGCAACGACAAAGTGCTCTGAAAAAAAGACCTGGCTTCTACCAAAGCTGCGATGGGCCTGACCTTCCTGCAGTTCTCGTGCTGGGAGGATGCCCCACTTGTGCAGTCCTGCTCACTCTAGGCCCTAGTAGCACGCACATCACACATGCTTCTGCTGGACCAGACTCCATTCCAACCAGTTCCTCATCCGCTACAGTCAGTCACAGTTCCCACTCTCAGATTCCCACATTTTGTTCCTTTTGTTGGCAAGTCCTGTTGACCAATTTCTCTATCCACCCTACAGACAGCACCCTGTCACTCCCAACACTGTACCTTTTAAAGATAGCTGCAAAGTCAGCAGACCTTCCTCAGCCCCGACCCCACCTTCCTCTGGAGATGGCCAGCCTCACAGGCCACTGCCTGACTCTGGATGCTATTTGCTCCCACTGGGCTTCACTTCTTCTACACACCTGCTGTATTGTCCTCTGGAGAATTCTCCTCTGCAGTACACATATATTCTCTTCCCCTTAGAAGCAGTTACCCATCCCAGCAGCTCAGGAGGCAGAGGCAGGAAGATCACAAGTTCAAAGCAAAATGCAAGGTGCTAAGCAACTCAGTGAGACCCTGTCTCTCAATAAAATACAAAACAGGGCTGGGGATGTGGCTCAGTAGCCAGTGGCACTGAGATCAATCCCCAGTACCACCCTCCCCGCCAAAAAAAGCAGTTACCCAAACCCATTAAAAGCTGAACTAACAATCAAGCATCAACCCTACATACCAGTCTCATTTTTTTTCTTCCTTTTAAAGATAACCTTAGTGGAATCTAGTCCATCTCTGCAGTCTCCATTTCTTTGTAATCTACTTCCTCATCTGAGAGTTTACCCTGGTAACTCCTGATCACAAGATTAATGGCCCTTTCTGAGTTCTCTACACCATGTGATACCACTGATCACTCCCTCTTTCTTGTACTATAACTTTCTTTTCTTTCTTCATACTTTTATCTTTAACGAATCTACAGTAACTTTTTAAAAATCTTAATTCATTTAAATGTGCACATCCTCCTTATAGTTTTGGTCCTTAATAAGTTGAACTCTCTCTCTCTCTAGCCATGCATCCACCCTCTTCCAAATGGTTTTTATGTACTCCCATGACACAGTCAAAAATAGAAGCAAGCAAGGTCTTCTGACAAGCAATTCAAAACTTATGATTTTATGTAGACTCTAAATTTTTTTCCAGCCTAAAGGAATTACTTACCTGGTAAAATACACTATTATGTCATTCACTTCAACTATTAATTTTTAAACAAAAAAAAAATCCTATAGACCACAGAAGAAAATTATCTTTCAATAAATTTGCAACTTTACTGCTAACATATATTAAAATAACAACAACAACAACAAAAAAAAAAACGAAACGTGATTCAGTTAGTGGGAACAAAGAAAGAAAAGTTTGAACACAGCTCTTTCTCCATACCTTCCAATAGTAGCTTTGCCTTCATTTTTCACAGATTGGTAAATCTTTCTCTCTTCATCTGAAAGTGTAATGTGCTGAATAAATACTTTACGTTCTGGTAACTCCAAAACAGGCTTTCCTTTAATTTTGCTTGTCTTTGTTCTTCTAAGTGTGATATTTTTAATTAGGGACTGTAAACGTCTAGTCAAAATAAAAAAAAAATAATTAAAAAAACAACTTTTTATTTCTACATAGCAAGAAAGAAAAATTTAACTTATTACTATTTTATAACCTTAGTAAAGTTTTTTTTTTAATCCTTATTTGAGGTCTTATCCAATCTGATAATCACAGAACTATTCTTTTTTTTTTAAAGAGAGAGGGGGAGAGAGAGAAAGAATTTTTTAATATTTATTTTTTAGTTTTTGGCGGACACAACATCTTTGTTTGTATGTGGTGCTGAGGATCGAACCTGGGCCGCACGCATGCCAGGCGAGCACGCTACCGCTTGAGCCACATCCTCAGCCCATCACAGAACTATTCTACAAGCAGAAAATTATTACAACAAATGTACTGAATTTTTTTCAACTAAATCCCAATCAGTTTAATCTTCTTAAATCCTGTCTTTTCTTAAGCTCTTCTCTCCATTTTTGTTCCAGTCATTAATTCTCAATTGTCCTGTCAACTACATCATCAACAGTCAAGACTCAGATTCTTATGCTATAATCACAAGGTGCTTCATTTAAAGTTGCAAGAATACAAATATAGGAAAGAGCCAACCTTCTGTGAGCCAAAATAAACATTTTTACTTAATAAGTTTAAAAAATCCTATTTTCTATAATATGAAAATCAACAGTGTTATATGAAAATCTAAAGTGATTTTTATAAATAACAAGTGTCCCCAAAATAAAAACATGATGTGAAAATTCAGGGAAGAAACACCTTCTTAGTTCCACAATCTTTACAGCTCTCTCTCAACATCAGAATTAAAGGAGGCACACCACCTCTTTAAGAACTGATGTACACTTCCCCAACAGTGAAATACAAAAACAATTCCCTAACTTGAATTTAAATAGCTGGTTCAAGTGGTCAGTTCTGCCAACTAAGTTAATAGCTTCTGAATCTTTTTCACTCTAACTCATAGTAAGAAACACATTTTACTGCACCTGGAGAACATACACAAACAAATATATTTCTCAAAGCAATATTTACCATGTATGATACACTTTGAACTTTTATTTTCTCTTCTACTGTTTCATTTTCTTTTCAATACTGACTACAACCTTTATAACAATTTTGTAACCCACTAATGGTCCCAAATCCTCAGTTTAAAAATCACTGCTCTAAGATAAAAAACTTGAAGCACATTATCCTAGCAAATGGCTGCCACCAAGTTGAGTTTTCATTTATGTGTTCAACTTTTATCTGTGTCCACCAGAAACAACTATGGGAAACGTCCTCTCATAAAAAAACTTGTTGAGGTCACTGAATCACATCATCAACAATCATGTACAAAACTATATGAATTATGACAATTTAATGCTTATAGGATCCTGAAGGATACTATTTTTCCTATCACTGTTGAATCTGTTAGTGGGGGCTCCAGTGGCTAAAAGCAACACCCAGAGCACAAAGCCCTGCCTTTCCATTCATTTTGGCTAAAATAGAAAAAAAGCAATTATTGGTGATTAGAAATCTTTGTCTCCCCAAATAAAAGTCACTATGTTCTAAGAGTCAAAGGGATACAATGTATACACTTTTTAGAAAGGGAAGTCAAGAGTCAAATAAAAAGAATAATGGAAATGGTTCCACTGTCTGTCACTAACACACACATCAGCTGTTATGAAGTGACTTACCTAAGTCCTCCTTCATCTCCCATAGTGACGGGACGCTGTATTGTTCTATGCCACCATTCTCTATCAATAAATGGTTTAAGTTTTAAAAAGGACAGAAGAGACCACAAGTCCTTCAAAGAATTCTGGATAGGAGTTCCTAAAAATAAAAGGAAACTGTTATAACTCCTCCTTTTTCTTTTTTGATAGTTCTAGAATCAAACCTGGGACTTCACATGTGCCAGGCAACCACTCTTACCACTGGATCACACCCCCACTCCCTATTGATGCTTAAGAACATCTGTCCTGTACAACCAGATGAAACAGGTGAAAACAGACACTCTGGATGAGGCACACCACTAACAGCTGTGCCTGCAGTCTTTTGTTACACATGTACACACCTCAAAATATAATTTTACTCTAATTTTTAGCTGTCACTTGTCAACATAAGGGGAACAGAAAAATCCAGTAAACTCCACTTTCTCTTCATTGCATACCTAGCTTATTTGGTTTTAAAATAAGTAGCACCAGCAAGAAAAATAAGCAACTAATATAAATTTATATTCCTTTTCCCATCTTCCAGTAAAGGTATCATGAATAGCAAACAGGCTCTAAGATGGACAATAGGAAAGTCAAGATTCTGATTATAGGATTGGAGTGTCTATTCTTCCCTGAGGTTCAAGAATAAGCAGGTTCCATAAATAAACTATGACCCTAAGGGTGTTATATCATGAGCAATTATGAAGAACAAGTCAAAACACTTGATTAAATTGTTTCTATCATTAATTTTAGAATTGACTTTTTAGTCAATTACAATGTTATATCACCAACTTAATAGTTAAAAAGTTTTTTTTTTTCTTTCTTTCTTTTGCAGTACGGAGGATCAAACCTAAGGCCTTCTATTTTAGATGAGCATTCTACCACTTACATCACGGTCCCCAAAATTATTTTTTAAATTTAACACAAGATTCCCACTTTTACCACTTTCACATAGGTGCTAGCTGGAGTAACAAGTGCATCCAAATTGGAAAAGGAGTTAAAAGTGTCACTGTTAACAGAGAATATGGTTTTATATGTTAGAAAAAAAAAAAACCCAAAACTCCTCTGGCTCAAAAACAAATTTGGCAAAGTTGTAAGATACAAAATCCGTAGTGGCATTTCAATATGGCACTAGCAAACTATATGGAAAAAAAAAATGAAGAAACCCCATTTACAATAGCTATAACCAACCAAGAGACCTAGGAATAAATATAACCAAAGAGGCAAAAGATGTCTACAAGGAGATCTAGGAAACAGTGATAAAATTGAAGAGAACTCAAAAATAAAGTGAAAAACATCCCGTCACAGATTGGAAAAATCGATACTGAGAAAATGTCTGTAGCACCCACAGCGATTTACAGATTCAGTGCAATCTGTACCAAAATATCAAAGACATTCTTCAGAATTAGAAAAGGAAAAAAAATTGTAAAATTCACATGGAATCTCCGCCAGGCACAGTGGCACACGCCTGTAATCCCAGCAGCTCAGGACGCTGGGGAAGGAGGATCGCAAGTTCAAAGCCAGCCTCAGTAATGGTGAGGTACTAAGCAACTCAGTGAGACCCTGTCTCTAAATAAAACACAAAATAGGGGTGGGGATGTGGCTCAGTGGTTGATTGCCCCTGAGTTCAATCCTCAGTTCCAAAAAAGAAAAAAAAATTCACAAGGAATCTCAAACTCTGGAACAGCCAAAGCAATCTTGAGTAAAAAGAATAGAGCAGAAGTATTATATTACCTGACTTCAACCATCAACTGAAAGTCTGTGAGAATCAAAATAGCATCACACTGGCATAAAAACAGATACACAGGCCAATGGAACAGAACAGAGAGCGTGGAAGTAAACCTACAAGTCTATCCACATAATTATCAACAAAGGTGCTAAGACCAGGTACAAGAAAAGGACCTTTTCAATAAACAGTGCAGAGATATTTGAATATCTCTATGCAGAAGAATGAAACTAGACCAGACCCCTATATCCCATCAGTTTCAAAAATCAACTTGAAATGGATTAAAGACTACAGGCAAGACCCAAAACTACCAGAAGAAAACAGGTAAAATGTTTTAGAACACTGGAATGAGCAAATATTCTTCTTTCTTTTTTTGATAAGATCCCAAAAGATCCCCAAAATGCAGGAAACAATTAAAAATAGACAAATAGAATTACATGAAGGTAAAAAGCTTCACACAACAAAGGAAACAATCGTCAGTGAAGAAGCGACCTATAGAATGGAAAAATTATCTGCCAACTATGTATGTGATGGGGTTTGCCGTCCAGAATATATAAGGAACTCTGGAAATTAATAGCAAAAGAAAAAAATTGTTTTTAAATGATCAATACATCTAAGCAGACATTTCCCAAAAGAAGATACAGAAATAGCCAACAGGTATATGAAAATGATGCTCAACATCATTACTCATAAAAGAAATGCAAGTCAAATCCACAATGAGACATTGCCTCACTCCATTCAGAATGACTTATCAAAAGACAAAAGACAATTCCTGGCAAAGACATGAGGAAAAGAGAGCCCTTGTGCACTGTTAGTGGGAATGCAAATTAATACAGTCATCATGGAACATGGAAAGCAGCATGGAATAGAGTCATCTCACAGAAGTGTGACCAGAGGCTGAGGAGAGGAGCAGGGAGGGAGTAGTAAAAGCTTCGTCAGTGGGTACTAAGGTACAGCTAGAATTAGTAGGTGGCTACAGACAATATCAACACACTTCAAAAGAGCCAAAAGAAAGGACTTTATTTTCACCCAAAGAAAGATGCACAATTAAGGAGATAGTTAGGCTTACCCTGAATAATGACACAATGTGTACATATCTTGAAAAGCCACATGGTACCCCATAAATATTTTAATACTTATAGGTCAATTTTAAAAATAAATCAAAACGGTGTAAGGTAAAAATAAGTCTGATGTCATAATTACCTGTCAATACCCATCTCCTTTCTGCTTCTAAATCGAGTGCAGCTTTTGTCTGCTGAGCATTTGGATTTCGAATGGCATGGCCTTCATCCAGGATCACTCTTAGCCATCTTATGCTATGTAATGGACTGTCCCCTTTCGTCTGAAAGAAGTGTGTCATGACAGTTGAAAAACACAGGAACAGGACATAATTTGCTTAATAATATTTGCTCTTTTTCTTTAACATCAACACTGCTTTTAATTCAAGAACTATGCCCTTTAAAGTACTGAACACTCACAAGCTGAGCATTATCAGAGGTAAGAACACTGAAGCCCAAGGTGCCAAGTTTGCTGTCCAAAGAACCACCTTTAGGAAGCAGAAGAACCTGCCTTCAAACCCAAGTCTAGTCTAGCTCGCTAAAGAATCAAACTGTAGGATACCCTGAACTACTCTGCATCAGATTTACAATGATGATAAACAACTGCCAGTTATAAGAATTCTTTCAATGTAACAACCTTGATTTCTTTTATATAAAGGTAACATTCTTACCCAAAGTCTGAAATTATTTTCCTCCATTTTTTTTTTAGTATTACTTATTGGTGCATAATAATTATACATAACAGTGGAATTCATTGTTACATATTTGCACTTGTGCACAATTTAATAATATAATTTGGTCGATTTTACTCCCTAGTACCTCTCCTCTCCTCTTCCCATCTCCTTCCTCTATTCTATTGGTCTCTCTTCTATTTTCATGAGAAGACTGAAATTGTGACTAAAAGGTATTTTAAAAAATGTTTTAACTGAACAATTTGAATTATATATGTTTAAAAAAAAAAAAACTAGATTCCTAAAAGAACTGGGAAACTTATTAACTGCAGCTACAGAAAAGCTATTTTTTTAAACCAAAATATTAATCAAATCATTACAACAGAAAACAATTTTCCAGAATAAAAAAAAATTTCATTTATAAACTGCTATATGTACTTGTTACAAATCCAAAGTTAAATTTTAACTAAAAACATTCTAAATGGAAAACATTTCTAAATTAGTATCTAAACAAAATACAATCCTTCCTTTTTTAACCAAGTTTTTTAAAAATCCTACTATTCTCTACATATTAAGTATTAGAATAAAAGAGTACACAGTTTGAATTTTAGAACACTTCAGAAACCTGAAGAATGATAACAGTCCTTAAATTCAACCTTAAATCTCTAAATATCAGCACACTTACTCCATAGTCATGAGTTAAAATGTTGTAGGTAGTCAAAACAATATCCTGTTTTGAAAGCAAGGCTGGGTCTCTAATACGATCAGGACCATAATAAACATAAAAATTCAAGTGCACCTCTGATTTTATATGTTGCCCAAACTGGTCCTAGAAGAAAATTAGAAATATTTTTAATAATGTATTATGTACATAAGAAATATAGTCCTGGCAATAGTGTCACAAATCAAGCTACCACAATTGCATAAAATAAATTTTTTTGTAATCTAAACTAACAAGATAATAATGATAACTATTAATTATTATTACATTGTCAGAAAAACTGACACATACAGTAATCCTGGACCTACCAATATAATAAAAAGCCATTCCATTTTAAAGAGAAAAAAGTTATCAAGCTTCTTTCAAACAGAAATTAGCATTTTGAAAATTTAATGTTTTAATAAAAATGTTTTTCTATGAATTAGGAGACTCCTAATATCAAGATTAAACATAATAAACCAGCAACTAATATTTCCAAAGATGTAGGGCAAGATTCAAGCACAGTACCCGTTCTTTCCTTCAATTTACTAGGCCTGCTATTTGCCAAATATCAACCACAACAATGATGCAGCTGAAAATGGGAAAAATAACAAACTGTCCCTGTCTTGTTTTTTTGTTTTGTTTTTATAAATCATGAAAACAATTGACCTGGAAGATTTTGAGGGAAAAAAAATTTAGGATTAGGATGTACAACAAAAATAGAAGGTGGTCAGGGACAGCGCCTATCACTCACTATTCAGAGTGCGCTCACGCTTTTATGGGAGGAAGGGCATACTGCAGCAAAGAAAAAGTAATGCGAATGTGTTAGACTCTTGGTGATTATTAAAGCTTTCTGAGTAAATGCAGATCTCATTAAAATGCCTCATAATTTTTTAAAAAATACCACGCTTTAAAGGAAAGAAGAAAAACTTAATAGGAACTTAACAGGACCCAGAACAAAGGCAAAGAAACAGTGGTTAGAAAGTTAGGTAACAAGACATTCGTGAGAGCCAAAGAATATTAAACTTCAATGATGACTTTTAGTTTGTAAATTATGTTCATCCTATTTATAAAAAGGTTTGGAGATGGGTTACAAAATAAGACACACAAAGTAAGGCAGAAGAACAAAAACAAGCTCAGTGGTCTCCACAAGGAGGTCAAAGAAGCTCTCCCAAAACTTTCCAGAAAAGGTGGGAGTAAACCCCAGACAACTGTGGGCTGAAGAGAGCCTGCAACATGAAACAGAACAGGGAAAATGCAAAGAAGTAAACAGCAAATGTGAAATGATAAAGGTAAAAATACAGAGAGAATTTTCAAGAAATTTGGTGGAGAAGAAATCTAGTACTGAGAAAAAATTCTATATAAGCAACCTGAGTCAGAGGGTGGCAATAAAATAGCACAGTGTATTTCTGAAAGAATTAGATTGAGAATAGAAGAAAATCAACTTTCCTGAAGAAAAAACTACCATTACTCTGTTTCTGGATACTGTGCTGGGTTCCATATGAATACAGAAAATGACAAGTGTTATGGTTTAGATATGAGGTGTCTCCCAAAAGCTCCTGCTAATGCAGGAATACTCAGAGGTAATCAGCCTGTCTTAGTTTAAATGGATGGGTCGTAACCATAGGCAAGTGGGGCGTGGCTGGAGGGGGCTGGTCACACAGGGGGTGTACCCTGAAAGGGTGCACCTTCCCTATGGTCCCTTCACTCTATCCCTTTGCTTCCTGCCCACCATGAGCTGACAGCTTTCCTCTATTCGGACCTTCCCAGTGATGTGCTGTCTCACATCAAGCCCAGAGCAATGGACTCAGCCATCTACAGACTGAGATCTCTAAAAACACGAGCCCCAAATAAACGTTCCATTGTCTAAGTTGTTCTTGTCAGGTGGTCACAGAAAAGAAAAAGGTACTAAAATATTAAACAACATGTCTAAATATCCAGAATTAATATGTGATAGAAGATGGACTGTCCCCAGGCCTTAATCCTTTAACTGGATTATTTTCCATATTTGGGGTGGGGGGAAAGGAAGATGAGTTTCCATGTTCTTTAGAACATTATGTCACTCACTTGGGAGACAGCAAGCAGCTTGCTGAGAGACTGAAAAATTCTAACTCTTTACCTTGAACCCCTATATGCCCAACCATCCCTCATTCCTTTCAATTTTCACATAATCTCAGTAGGAAAGACTTGGGAAGTTTCATTTACTATGTTTATATTACTCAAACTTTGGTTTCCAAATATAAAATTATAAAGAAATACTGATGCTGTGAGTGGTGCACGCCTGCAATCCTAGCAGCTCAGGAGGCTGAGGCAGGGGGATCACGAGTTCAAGGCCAGCCTCAGAAACACAGAGGCAGTAAGCAACTCAGAGAGACGCTGTCTGTAAATAAAATACAAAATACGGCTGGGGATGTGGCTCCGCAGTTGAGTGCCCCTGAGTTCAATCCCCAGTGCCCCCTGCCAAAATAAATAATTAAAAAAATAAAAAGAAATACTGATAACCCAGTTTTAAAATACATCCCTATATATACGCCTTTAAGGAATCATAATTGTTTATGCTTCCATTAATATTGCTATGCCTCACCCTACAACAGCCATTCAAATGTGCGTGTACTGCCCTTCCCAGGAGAAATCACACATCAAAAGAAAGTTTTATTAGAGCAAAAAAGAGGAATAGATCACTAAAGCTATCTAGTCCTAAGAGGAAAAATGGATGCACTGAGATAAGAGGTGTTTCCTTTTTTAAAAAACAAATAAGCCAAAAACTTAAACAGAAAAGCCCTGCCACAGCAGGCAAGCCCATAAAGTGAAGGAGAAATCCATTCAGTCAAAACTATCTACTCCTAAGAGGAAAAATGGATGCACTGAGATAAGGGGTATTTCCTTTTTTTAAAAAAACAAATAAGCCAAAAACTTAAACAGAAAAGCCCTGCCACAGCAGGCAAGCCCATAAAGTGAAGGAGAAATCCTTTCAGTCAACACCAGGCCAAGAAAAAAAAGCCAAGAACAGACACTAGACGATCACTATCTTTCCCAATGCAATTCTGACCACTGATGGTAAAAGCCCGATGACAACAATGAAGAGTAAGTGAAAGCCCCCGGCAGGACGAACCTGCAGCACGGCAGTGAAGGCGAGCAGAGAAGCACCAGCAGAGGTGAGGTCTGACAAGAGGACAGTGGAGTAGGATGAAGCAGCCCTAGTGCGCTGCACGGACACCAGTGGGAAGAGAGCAGATTATCAACAGACGGGGAAGAGGAGAAAAGGCAAAGGCAGAAGAGACGGAAAACAATGTACACACTGAAGTACTGGTCTTAAAAAGAGGTGAGAGACTTCCTTCTCTCAGATAAAAGGAGCAAAGACAGAGAACTGATAACCTCAGAGGCAGCAAGAATGCAGGTTCATATACAGGGGACACCCACAGTGCTTTCAAAAGACTCAGTATTTCATTACAATGTGAGGTCTTAAGCGCAAATTGGACAGGGAGCAAGCAGCACTTCCCATGTTATGTTTTGGAAAAGAAAAGCAATCTGTTGGGTGGGCAGGTGGGGGGACAAACTCCTCTAGTGAGTAACCTTGAAAGCATAGGCTCAGGAGTCCTAGTATTGGACACAGCACCCAAGTTCCATCATGTGTTTCCTGGGTGACGTTACTCAAGCTACTTAACCTCTATGTTTCAGTTTGGTCACCTGATAAGTGAAAATAATAATTGTGAGGATTAAATAGAAAAATCTATAAAAAGAGCTTAAGAACAATCAAAGCAGAAAGGGGCTGTGTTATAAAAATAAGTAACTATGCATGTAATTATCAGAAAAAGAAGTTCTGATAGTCAGTTGGTAAACATGGTGGAATATTAAATTATATATCCTTTCTATTCAGGGAACAAAAGTGGCAAAGGCAAAAATATAACCAAATCTCACATTAGCAAATGAAGTTCTTTAGCATAAATCTTCAAAGAAAAATTACTTCAACTCAGCAAACATAATCCCAACTCACCTAACACAAAATGATGACAAAGCATATTTCTAACAGAATACATTTTATAAGACAAATATAAATTACACCACATTTTAAATGAAGACTTCAAAGACTTACAATCCAGTTGCTCAACACAGAAAGTGGGCAGATAATCAGTGTTGTTCTTGGTCTCTCTTCAACATCAGTTTTCTTTGAACCCTCCACTGCAGATGTTCCTGAGGACAAATCATTGACAAAGCCTTTGACTACTTTTATTTTATTTTGGGGGTGGGGGGGACATACATGTCAATAAGGAGGTGGCAATCATCTGCCTCATGAGAAGAGAAATTGAGTAGAATTACAATGAAGTGGATGAATTTGTGTCTGTAGCCATGAAGGAACGGAGACTAAATTTTACCTTGTCACTTTAAAAACCTAAAACCCCAGAGAATGTTTATCAGAAGAGCCAGCAGGATGTGCCTGGAAGGATACAGAGGCAGCAGTCTGTGACACTGCCGGGTGTGCACAGCCTATATTGTTATTTGTAATGGTTCTACACAGTTTCTTAAACCTGCAGTATTTGTACTCCAAGCTGGCCCCAAGTGATCTTTACTTTGCTACAACAACTTATGCATCCCTCCCCCCATTACACAAGGGCAGCTCTCTGTCACCCACAGGATATGGTCAAAATGACTCAGGTGACTTATACTCCAATGGAGGAAGCGGGCCACAGACATACATAGAGTAACATCAGGCAGTGACAATGTGAAGAAAAAATTAAATGTGATGTGAGGACAGAAACTGTGGGCTTGAGGAGGTCTGAGAGGGAGGGTTATGGAGGGTACTGCTTTTTGGGTGACAATCTCTTAGAAACCTAAGTGAAGCAAGACAGCAAGCTGAGCACATATTCAGGGACACTGGGCTGGACACCAAAGTCCTAATAGCAGTTGATGAAAACACAGAAATAAGACACATTTGCTGAAATGCCAGTGTATTAAACAGATGAGACCAAGGGACAGAGACACACACTGCCCCAGATCTCTGTATCTTTAGCTCAATCTCTTTCCATCTCAAATACTTACTCTTAAGCAATGTTTTCAAATGAGCTACAAAATACAAAACTATAATAAAGATCACTAATATTCTTCAATAAAAAGCAAATTTTAATCATAACAAAAACTAAATGTTTATTATAATTCAGTTGAAATCAAATTAAGTAATCACACTTTAAAACAACTATAAAATTACTCTTGTGTCTTCACTAGAGAACTCCCTGTGCTTATTTATGCCTTTGTAAAACAAGCACAGTAGGAAAAAGCACTGAGGGAAATGACATCAGGATGTGGCTTTCCCTTTGCTCTATTTTCTAAACTTCTTTAATATGGTTTAATAACTTTTGTCATTTTTCATTGAAAAACAGAAAAAACTGGAAAACTAGCAGATTCACTGACCCCTTTTCAAGGTTTTCTTCTTTGTTGCAGGGCTAGGTGAAGTCAGTGCACATGCAAAGGCTGCATCTTCTTTGACCTTGGAAGATCCTGCTGATGTAAAACCACAGCCAATCAGATACTTTACAGTGTCACCTTCCCTGGGCTTTATGAGAGGAAAGAGATCCCATTTTTACAGCATGTTACGAGCATATATTATTGAAAAAAAAAAAAAAAAACTATCTGGTAACAAAAATTGTCACCTCTGACAATAACTGTGTCTCTCTAGCTCACAGAAGGGATGCAACCACTCATGGTAAGACTACTGCTTCGAAAGAATGGTGAGAGGAGGAGCAGGCCTACACTCTGGGGTGGAAAAAAATTTTTCAAGGAAACAGATGTTTGATTCCTAATAACAAGGCCACCAAATTTCCAGATCAGTTCAATGATGATCAGTTTATTTCCAAATGCAATACAATTTCTTAATTCAGTAGGAAAACATTTTGATCTGAATTAAAGAAGAATAAAGTAAACAATGTTTTGGAGATGCCAGGCATCGTGGCATCGTATGCAATCTGAGCATCTTAGGAGGCTGAGGCAAGAGGATCCCAAGTTGGAGGAGACCAGTCTCAGGAACTTACCAAACTTACTGTCTCAAAATAAAAAATAAAAATGACTGAAAAAGTAGCTCAGTGATAGGGCAACTCTGGGGTTCAACTGTCCCCCATGTTGGGGTTGCGCACACACAGGGTTGGGATGTTTTAAGAATAGAGGGAAGAAATAAAGCTATTTATTTTTATTTTTACACCCTTTAAAGAAGGGAATATTAACAAAAAAGGTACTCCCAACTTAACTTTGTGAATTACTATTTATACATAAAAATATCTTATTGAAGTTATTTTTTTTTTAAGAGAGAGAGAGAGAACTATTTATTATTTATTTTTTGGCGGACACAACATTTTTGTTTATCATGTGGTGCTGAGGATCGAACCCGGGCCACACGCATGCCAGGCGAGCGCGCTACCGCTTGAGCCACATCCCCAGCCCCTTGAAGTTATTTTTTAGTAGAAAATTATTTTAAGTTGATCTAAGTATGACCCCTTAGATTTTAATTTGAAACTACTTATTGAATTTTCCTTATTTAATTCATTTAACAAATATGAAGTTCCATGAAGAGTTCAAATGTAAATAGAAGCAAAGCTGAAGACGTATTACTCAAAATTTCCAATCTTGGGAAACACAAACCAGTAGGGTTTTACTTTAATAATCCTTAAGTGTGGACTCTTAGTACTAAGAAGGTCTAGGACACACATACCTTTTGCCCGGCTTTTAGTTTCTGACTGTATATTTTTCAGTTTGCCTAAAACAAAACCAAAATAAACATTAAAACGGGCATGCAAGGCTAAAATACAGACACATTACCCAACCCAATCCTCTGCACATTAATTACCTTTCGTTTTCTGTGGCAATTCACTTGCTTCAATTTCCTCTGAATCACTGCTTTCAACGTACTGGACAGTAATTTTTCTTCTAAAATTTAGTATACACAAAGAAAATCAATCCAAAATGGGATATGACACTTTTTTAGTAAATGGAATTCAAATGCTTTTTCATCTCACTGTTTATTTTTTGAAATATTTTCAAGAGAAAGATTTTATTTGACTTATGAAAGTCAAATCTGTCAAAAGCATCTGTTTTCATAACCAGATGTACTTATTTATAAAATACATATCATTAATATTAAATTTAAAAAACTAAGTCAAAAAAATAATCATTCTAATAATGAATTCAATATTTTATAGTTCAAATAACACCTTTATGTAAAACTAAAACAAAAAAGAAAAGGTCCTTATCAAAGCAGCTACTTCAATATAAAGAAATAAGCAACCAAAGGCAAAATGATTCATCATAATGGAAAATTTCCTAAATTTCATGTAGAAACATGTAACTGGTTAAGTGGCTAGGAACAATGGACCCTGCAGTGAGTGAGACCACCCAGACTCAAATCCTCATTCTGCCACTAGTTTGCTGAGACTTTAAGCAAGCCACCTTATACGTTCCTACGTCGCAGTTTTCTCACTTAGCGAGTGGGGGTAATGTGATCCTCCTGGTAGGATCAGAGGTGCCTGCTGCACAGGAGGCACACCCACACCAGCCACAGGGAGTGTGCCACATGCTGCTGAACTCAGCACTGCACTCTACTGCCTTTTACCCGGTACAGTCACTACCAGTACCATGTTAGCTAGGTTCACAGCTCAGATCTACGGACCTGAGATTCAGATAAAAGAAAAACTGACAAGTGCCGGTTCTGGGTTCAGTTCTGATGGGTACCAATGATAGAATCATAGCCCATGATGGTTAAGAGACTACTGTTGGCAGGACTCAGGCACACGGCATCACACCTACAGACACCACAGAAAATTGTGCCACAAAAGCCCAGTATGTGCACAGCCTTCAGAGAGTATAAATTAAGTTGTTAAAATTCAAGGTAGATCAGAGGGGTATGATGTATTTTACTAAAATTCTTCCCATATTGTAGCCTAAGTCAGTATGATACTCTCCATAACTACCTAAATGTCTTATTTTCATTATAGTGAACTTAAAAAAATTTGAAATGAGCAAAAGAATGGTTCTGTCAAGTCATCCAATACATAATTCTTTAGTGTTCATTCCCTAAATGCATTAAAGAAAACTATTTTAAAGTCTAAACAAAAAACTCAGGAGCTTGATCTTCATTACTAAGTGAAAGAAATAATAAGTGGCAGAAAGATGAATGATTATTAACTCACTTCTTCTATAGATCAACATTACTTTTCTTCAATTGTAAAAATGAGAACAGACTATCCAAGTCAGTGATTCTGGCAATGAGAAAGTATCTGAAATAACTATGTAACTGAGATAAAACGGTCATCTTTCTTTCGTATATATAAGAAAAAGAGTTTAAATTAAAACATCTCATTTAATCAAACCACAAAAAAATTTACCTTTTGGGGCGAGAGCTAGACAATTCTGACATGGAACACTTTTTCTTCTCCTTGATATGTGAAATACTGGGTTCTTCACTACATCTAGATCTTTCTATTTCAAAGAAAAAGCCAAATATACAGATAATTATCCAATTGTCTTAAACCAGCAGTACCACCTCTTAAAATCTTGGTTTTACAATTACTGATCTGTTTTCTCAACATCTTCACTTTTTTCAAATGCCCTGTTTTTTCCATGAAACAGCCAGTTGTAGTTACTCTACATTTTCCCAACCTAGAACCTTCAATTTCTTGGGATGCAATCCTTTCCCAGGAGTCACCCAGCCAGTTCCCACACTGGATGAATTCCTCTGTACCATGGAGGCCCAGGCCGCCAAAAGCTGTGGTAGGGGAGGGGTTCACAAAACAGAACAGAATCACACACAGCTGCTGTCAATCACTAACCAACTTTCCAGATCCTGGCTGTCACTTTGTTACTTATCAACTCCTTCCTCCACTTCCCATAGCCATTCTCCACAATGACCACACTATACCACATCCTCTGCCTAGATTTTAACTCCTTGCACACCTAGACCACCTCGTTCCCTTTACAAGGAAAAGCAGATGCCATCGCCTAAGTCCCAATTCTCCTGCCTTTTTTTAATGGCCTTCCTCTTCTACTTATTCCCATCTGACTACTTTATTTCTAATGTCAGCTCATCCAACTGTTCTCTCATGCCCATCTCCTTCCTCAAGCCTACTAAGCATTTTCTTAGTTATATCCAAAAATCTTCCAGCCTACAGATTTCTTTCCTACCACCACAAAACAAAACCCCATCTGCAGCTTTGTTCACTCTAAAAAAGATTTTCCTATCCCCAATAGCACAGTTACTTCCAAATAGTCCTCTTACGATTCTTACCTAAAATACGTTCCGTTTTACTCTGCTTTAACCTACCTTCAGAAATTGACTTTGTGAAGTCATATCACTACTAAATCCACATATCTCTTTTCTTTTCTCCTTGGACTTCAGAATGTGGCTCTAACCTATCTTTCTAGCTTAATCTGCTGTTATTCTTGCACAATGCATTATAAATAACATGAAATACACTGAGGTCCCAAAACAAAACATATTCTTTATTTTTTTCTTAAACTACCCTTTCATGAGATTATTTTTTTTCATCCAAAAATGTTCTTCCTAGCCTTTTGCCTATTGTATAATCACCAAATCACTTCTGTAATAAAACTTTTCCTGATAGCCAATCCCTGTGAGGTCTTTCAGAAAGAGATCCTAAATTTTTTTATATTAAAGATGAAATTGCAATTTATTAGCTGGAAAAAATGTAAATCAAATTATCAGGTCATAGCTAAAATTAACGCTTACCTTTGCCTTGCCCATCTGCTTTTTCAGTAGAACTGTTTCCTCCAAGTTTCTCAGACTCATCTTTAACATTACATTCCTTACATTCCTGGGTGAAAAGGCACATTTCTTTAATGGTACTAACAGTTTTGTTTATTTTGGGTACCCAGGACTGAACCCACTGAGCCACATCCCTAGCCCTTAACTTGTTATTTTATTTATTTATTTATTTATTTTTAAAATTTTGAGACAGGGTCTTGCTAAGTTGCTTAGGACTTTTCTAAGTTTCTGAGGCTGGTCTCGATCCTCCTGCCTTAGCCTCTGAGTCGCTGGGGTTACAGGAGTGTGTCACTGCACTAGGTCTATTATCAGTTTTAAACAAATTTAAAGATCCTGTCTTGTACTGCTTTACTTTCTTAAACTGTCCTTTCATTACTTTTCCTCTTGAAATCTGGAGCAGACAGATGCAGCAGTGCAGGTTCCAGAGAGCCCTCCACTTTACTCTATCAGAGATTTCCAGCCATCCATGATTCTCTCATTTTCTCTTCATGTGTACCCTCTCTTGTTTCAAAATGCATCAATGTATACATAAATTTAAAATAACCCTATAAAAGTAGAATTTTGAATACTTCATAAAATCTTACTAAAAATGTGGTTGGAATGAGGCATGGTGGTGCACGCCTGCAATCCCAGTGGCCTAGGAGGCTGAGGCAGGAGGATCACAAGTTCAAACCCTTCACAAGGGTTTGAACTGAGGTTCACAAGCCTCAGCAAAAGGGAGACACTAAGCAACTCAGTGAGACCCTGTCTCTAAATAAAACACAGAAGAGGGATGGGGATGTGGCTCAGTGGTCAACTGCCCCCGAGTTCAATCCTCAGTACCAAAAAAAAAAAAAAAAAAAAAAAAGTGGTTGGAGCTGGGGTATAGCTTAGCAGAGCACTTGCCTAGGACATGAGACCCTGGGTTTAAAACATTGGGGTGGGGGTGGGAGGTTGGTTGAGAAGAACCATCCCCTTCTAATGGTACCAATCTAAACCATTTTTAGAGCTACAGTAACTGGAAGAGTTAATAGTTAACTTTTCTTTTACTCTCCCTTCCTCCATCCCTCCCTCATTCAATTTATTTTTTTATAGTACTAGGGATTAAACCCCAGGCCTTCCTTGCACATGCTAGGCGAGCAGGCAAGCACTCTACCGCTGAGCCAAAACCCCAGCCCTTTCCATTTTATTTTGAGACAGGGTCTCACTAAATTGCCCAAGCTGGCCTTAAATATGTGATCTTCCTGCCTCAGCCTCTGAAGTAGCTGGGATTATAGGCATATCTATGCCCGGTTTGGATGGTTATTTTTAATGCATTAGCTCCAAGAAAATGTTAAAATGCTTTTTGTCAATTTTTCAATCAGGTCTTCAATCACTAGACTAGTGCAACCATTGAGTTAAAAGTATACAAAATTGGGGCTGGGGATGTGGCTCAAGCGTTAACGCGCTCGCCTGGCATGCGTGGGGCACTGGGTTCGATCCTCAGCACCACAGAAAATAAAATAAAGATGTTGTGTCCACCAAAAACTGAAAAATAAATATTAAAAATTCTCTCTCTTAAAAAAAAAAAGTATACAAAATTATTACCCCAAAATTTATATACACGTAAAGGATGTCATTTACATTATTCATTATATTAAGTGATTCTACACAACAAGCACATTCTTCAGACTTCAAAGATATATGAATGGTCAACAAACATATGAAAAAAATTTCAACATCTCTAATTATCAGAGAAATGCAAAGTCTACACTGAAATTTCACCTCACTCCAATCAGAATGGCAATTATCAAGAATACAAATAACAGATGTTGGCAAGGATGTGGGGGAAAGGTTATACTCATACATTGTTGGTGGGACTGTAAATTAGTACAACCACTCTGGAAAGCAATATGGAGGTTCCTCAAAATCCACTGTTATATTCTTAAGGGCAACTGGTAACATATACCAAGAGCCTAAGTGTAAATAATCTTTGATCTCATTAGTAATTTCTAATAATCTAACACCTTTCCTCTCTGAAAAAACTAGGATTGGAACTATCATTTGATCCAGTTATCCCACTCCTTGGTAAATAACCAAAGGAGTTCAAATCAGCATGCTATAGTGACTCGTAGCCACATCAATGTTTATAGCAGCACAATTCACAATAGCTAAGCTATGGAACCAACCTAGATGCCCTTCAACAGATGAATGGATAAATAAAACATGGTGTATATACACGATGGATTATTACTCAGACTGTCATGCTAAGTGAAATAAGCCAGCCCCAAAAAACAAGAGGCTGAATATTCTCCATATATAGATGCTAACCCTGAACAAGGTGGTACGGGAATAGAAGTTCAGTGGGTTAGAAATCACATTTTCAGTTTCTATTTCAAATAAGTATCTTTAAAATGAAGATCCTTCAAACGTCCTACAACAATTTAAATGCACTGCTAATCTACAGGAAAAATAAGGGAAGTCTTTAGTGATAACTGATAATTTCTCAATTGATAATGAAGAATGAAGCTATAACTAGTCATATATGCTTCTACCAATTTTGTAACCCTAGAACTTTCACTTTAGTGACATAAATCACTGGACTATCCACAGAAGGGCATTGAACCTGAACTCCTAGCAGGTTTACCTCTCAGTAAAAGCAAAAAAGAAGGCAATGTGACTAGGCGGGAACTGGCAGCACACAGCTGTGAGCAAGACACAGGAGACTGAGTAGCAGCCTCTGAAAATTAAAACATGAGGAAAGGAACAGCTGGATTCAGAGACAGCTTCTTTGCACACATCTTTGCCCCAGCCTACTTTCAGGTAAAAACAAAGAATAATGGTTTTTCTTTCTTGTAACACTTATTTTTCTCTTTTAACTAATTTTTAACTCTTTGTAATCACATTTATTTTTCCACTAATTTTTAAATGAACATAAACATATTTGTGTATATATTTTATAAACATACGCACAGACAATAAGTATAAAGAAAAACCACCCACAGGACAAATTATTATCATTAACATTTTGGTATCCCCAGAGTACGTAAGAACTTTTATGACATACTTAAGTATTAGGAAGTGGAGAATTGAACTCTATACACAGATGTGTACCTGGCGTTAGCATTCACAGATCCTGAGTTTAATCCCCCACTCAGCAAAACAACAAAAGCAAACAAACATGAAAGTAAAGTATTCACAACTTGGAATATAGCTGCATAGCATTAAGTTTTATGGCTATATCATAATTTAACGGTTACCAATAAAGAGACATTTCAAATTGTCTACTTTTTTAAAAAAAATATTTTTTAAGATGTTGATGGACCTTTATTTTATTTTATTCATTTATTTATATGCAGGGCTGAGAACTGAACCCAGTGCCTCACACATGCTAGGCAAGTGCTCCACCACTGAGCCACAACTCCAGCCCTCAAATTGTCTATTTTTAAAATAACATTGAAGAAATAATTTGTACTACTATCTTTGGAAAAAATGGATTGCTGAGAACTTCCTTAAGTAGATTATTAAAAATTACTGATGAGGTCAAAGATTATGAAGACTTAAGCCAACTGCCCACAAGAATGTAACCCTTTCACTTATACCACAAGACACCCTAATCATACTACCAAAGGTATCATCAATCTTCGCAATTTTTAAAAAATATTTTTTTATTTGTAGACAGACATGATACCTTTGTTTTATTTATTTTTATGTGGTGCTGAGGATTGAACCCAGTGCCTCACATGTGCTAAGCAAGTGCTCTACCACTAAGCTAAAACTCCAGCTCTTGGCAATTACTTTTTTTTTTTTTAAATATTTATTTATCTATGTATCTTTAGTTTTAGGTGGATACATTAGTTTGTTTTTATGTGGTGCCGAGGATCGAACCTAGTGCCTCACGCATGCTAGGTGAGCACTCTACCACTGAGTCACCATCCCAGCCCCATAATTTTTTTTTTTTTAGTTTTCAGTGGACACAACATCTTTATTTTATTTTTATGTGGTGCCGAGGATCGAACCCAGCACCCTGCGCATGCCAGGCGAGTGCACTACTGCTTGAGCCACATCCCCAGCCCAGGCATTTACTTTTTAATGAAATTTATAAATTTCACAGTCAGCCAAAGACTTCACAGAAAAACACTCACTAATACTTTACCTTCTTCAGTTGATTCTTTTTAATTCTCTCTACAGGAAGAGGTTTACCATCGTGGAAGTTGGTAAGAATTACAGCAATGGCTGTAAGAGTTTTACCCTTTCAAATGTTTAAAGAAAAAAAAAAAAAATGGTCAGATTCTGAAATCCAGTTGATCAGAAAACATTCCAAAACCAATTTTAAAATAATCAAATACTGACTATCATTCAAGGCTACAGAAGTGTAGGATCCTTATATAAAATGACATACATGCTAATGAAAAATGAGAATCTTTCAGTTAAGAAATGCTTTTCCTCCCTCGCATTATTAAAAAATTATTAGAAGATTTATATTATAAAATACTGCAAGCAACTCAGATGAATGTCATTTATTGAATGACTACTGTTCTTAGATTCCACATTTAACTCAGAACTATTAATTTTATCATAAAACTGTTAACAATTAGTTTGCAAACGAAGTTCAGAGCTAATTTAAAATGAGTCCTAACTCCAGTATGCTTATGAAGATAATCACTTTATTAAATCTGATTTAACAAAACTTAAAAGCCATAACTCATCAAATCATAAGGGGCATGATACTTCCTGTGTATTTTTCTTAAATGAAAACATGTTTACTTTTCAGTTTTCTCTGCAGTGTAATTCATAGTTAACAACACAAAAGCAAACATCTGGCAATGTTAAAGCAATATTAAACAGGAATTTTCAATGTGTGGGCCCAGGACAGTTTCAGGAAAATGGGAGGTCAAAACTGTTTTCATAATAATGAAATATTAATAAGACCTTATTTAACAAAGTGGGGTTATCATCTTTAAAAAGAGAAAAACAACTGAGTATCTGTTGTTCAAGGATAAAATCTGAACTTTTGCCTGGTGCAGTGGCACACGCCTGTAATCCCAGCAGCTTGGGAGGCTGAGGCAAGAGTATCACGTGTTCAAAGCCAGCCTCAACAACTTAGTGAGGCACTAAGCAACTCAGCAAGAGCCTGTCTCTAAATAAAACATAAAAAAGTGACGGGGATGTGGCTCAGTGGTTAAATGGTGTTCTCTCACAAGAACTGTAATATGCAGAGTATTCAGTAGATATTTGTGAGCCCCTAGGTTCAATGCCAGGTACAAAATTGATTTTCAAGTGAAAATCAATATAAAACTTGGAACACTATGAAGACAGCAGCTTCCAAAAATGTAAATGCTTTTCTAGTAAGATCAGTGGTGATATTAAAGAATGTAAAATCTTAAGATTGTATATTGAAATGCACCAACATTTGGCAGATCAGCATAATACAGTGAATCAATATTTTCCAAATGAATGAGCCTGGTGATAAAATCACACGTAGGTAAAACATCTATGCAATGTGGAAAATATACTAATAAATTTTAATGCACTGCTATTAAAAGTTCACTGGTATGATTTCAAATTCTATATTATAACTATTAACCTGTAATAAACTAATACTTGTTGGATTTCAGCATAGAACCAAATCTATAATTATCTAAAAAACTATCAAAATACTCTTTCCTTCGTAACTATATCCATATGAGTACAAAGTTTCTTCATACACTTCAACCAAAACACCACATTCACAACTGAATGAAATAAGAAACAGACATGAGAATTTGGGTGTCATCTATTCATCCAAAACATCAAAAAAGGTTTGAAAAAACTGTAAACAATGCCAGTTTTCTCACCAAAATTGCAACTGCTTTGGAATACTTTTCATTTAAAAATATGCCATTAACAAGTACTTTTGTCAACTGTTCTTTTTAATATTTAAAAAACATTTTTAATGTCTAATGCTGTAAAAGTCCTTTGACCATCTTTAATAATTTTTTAAGAGAAAAAAAAGTTACTGAGACCCAAAAGTATAAAAACTGCTAGTGTAACTTATAAATATCTATTCAGAATATTCATAAATATCTACTGAATACTCTGCATATTACAATTCTTGTGAGAGAATACCATTTTTTGCCATGCCGGGTACTGAAATCCAGGCCTCGTGCATGCTGGATAAGCACTCTACCACTGAGCTACACCCCAGCCCTGCCTTCACTTTTTTAAAGAAAATCTATGAAAGACAAATTAGCCCAAATTTCAAAACACAAAGAAATTGAAAACTACGTGTTTATGCAATTACTGCTACCCAATTATTTTAACATTCTTTAACCAAACAAAAAAACTGAGTATGATTTTAAGTCAACCCCCCAACACACAAAGCCTGTGTTCTACACTGACACATACGCTTCAACTTCAAAATTACTTTTTATAAAATCATAATCACAAAATAAGATTGTATTAACTTAAGAAAAAAATAATTACCAAACCCATATCATCGGCTAAAATTCCTCCATGGACATTTTCTGGTCGGTCTTTCTCAGAAAAATTTGTTATTGTGTTGTAGTATAAGTCATTCCGCTGCTCCCAGAATGGAGGGAGTTCTTGACTGTTCTCCCGAGAGATCATCCAAGACAGAGCTTGTTTCTGATGAGGAAGCAGTGGTGTTTCAACAGCCTAGAAACAAGAGTTTCACAGAACTACAGTTAGGTCTTTCCTTTCTCTACATGCAGTACCTAAAAAGTTTATCTTGTGCAAAGAAATAAAGAGGATATTTAAAAATGCCCAATACCTCAGCTGGTTCCATTTCATGCGTTTTATCATCTTCTTTTAAATCTTCAAATAATTTGTCAAATTCTGTTTTAAGCTGTAGTAAACAGCAACAAGAAACACCATTAAGCAAGTCAAGTGATAACTGTATCTAACTCAGAGATTTCATGTCTTTTTCTTTTTTCCCGATACTAGGGACTGACCCCAGTAGCATTTTACCAGTGAGTTACATCCCCACCCTTTTAATTTTTTGAGACAGGGTCTTGCTGAATTGTCCAGGCTGACCTCCAACTTGTGATCTTCCTGCCTCAGTCTCCCAAGTGGCTAGGATTACATGAATTCACATTGTTTAATTAACCAGAAGAGTCAAACATTTAACCCTCTGGGATGCTATATGGCTCACTGACGGTAGAATGAACAGCTTTTGTTCTTTTTTGTTGTTGTTATGAAAAAAACTGCAGGGGCTGGAGCTGTAGCTCAGATGCACAGTGCCTGCCTAGCACAAGTGAGGCACTGGGCTTGATCTTTAGCACTGCACTAAAAAAACCCAAATAAAATAAAAGGCCTATTGTCCATCTGTACTTACAAAAAATAATTTTTAAGAAAAGTAACTGCACTGTAGTTGGAAGACTATAAAACAGAGACCTTGTATCTAAATAAAATACAAAATAGGGCTGGTAGTTCAGTGGTCAAGTGCCCTGAGTTCAATCCCTGGTACCAAAAAAAAAGATATACAGGGAAAACATGGTAACCACAATTAGAAGACAATAAGACTAACACTAGCAGGTAGAGATATTAAAATATTTTGATGTTATTTTTAAATTGATCTATATTTATTTATTTTATACACCATTTCAAATTAACCCAGATAATAGAATCCTAGATTATGAATTAGACAAAGTAAGGGCTAGAGCAATGCCAAGACTTGGAGTTAATTTTTACCATTGCATTTGCAATCTTACTGAAAGGAGTAGTAAGTTTCAAATTTTGATGTTTTAAATTACCACTTGGACATTTTGAAAATCTCAAATGCAAAAATATCTCATGCAGATCTACACATGTGAATATTTTGGTAGAACAGGTCCAACCAGCCATGGATCAAAAATGTAGTTAGGCCTATAATGGCTATACCTGTACTGAACATGTAAATATCTTTTCTCCTGTCATTCCCTAAACAATATAGTACAACTATTCATATAGCATTTACACATTTACATTACATTAGGTAATATAAGTAATCCAATAACAATTTAAAGTATATGAGAGGATGTATGTGGGTATATAAGGAAATTAGGGATACTGGAACCTATCTGTGGATGCCAAGGGATGACTACAATCCTTATCACAGCTTTTTAGATAACATTTACAAACAAGTATAACTATATGTATACATATATACACACACACATATACTATATAACAGGTTTATCATTTTAAAAATATAAAGATCATTAATGCCAGCACATACATATTATTCTATTCTTTGACATACCAACCTTCTACATTTAAAATTTACTTTTAGATTTCAGCACAAAATGAAAGAGAAGCACACCTGTTCCGCTGTCATCTGTACCGCAGCATGAACTGGCATACTGTAGCTTGGTCCAGCTCTTCCAGAGCTCCAACTACTTTCCAAATTGAATCCCACAGCTATAATTCACAAATAAAAATAAAAGAGTTTTAAAACTCGTAACAATAAACCGCATTAAAAATTTCCAAGTAGCTGAGGACATAGCTCAGTGGTGGAGCATTTGCCTAGTGGGTCAAGGCCCTGGTTCCAGTCCTAAGCACCACAAAACAATAAATAATAAAAACTAATTTAGGTAAGTGCTCTACCATTGAGCTACATCTCAAGCTCTAGATAAATATTTTAAAGTTAAATACTAATTAAAAAACACATTATTAAAATAATTCCACAGTACATGAATAAGCTCTTGCCTAACCAACAATTCTTTTCCACCCTCAATCTGGAGATTTGTTTTGTCTAAAATGTATCAAAAAGAATCATTAGTTTTGGGGGAATTTAAGAGGGAGTCTATAGAAACTCTTTGCATATATGTTTGTGAATCCACAGTTACAACCACGCACCATGTATAGAAATTTTGATCAATGTCAGACCAGATAAGACGCTGGTACCATAAGATTATATGGAATAGCAATATTGCAATCTTAGCCTGCATAAGCACACTCTGTGATGTCTGCACAAAAACAAAGTCTCCTAATGATGCATTTCTCAGAATCCATTCCCATTAAGTGATGCATTACTATATTTCAAAAGAAAAAAGAAAAAAATCTGAGATTTCCTCAAAAAGACACCAGGGCTTTCAACACAAATTAGTCTGGCCAACAAAACTCAAAAGACAATAAACAGTCTACAATTCCTGCATTTACAATATTAAATAATATTAAGTTAAATTTTAAACTTACTTTTTGGTGCAGGACCCAATTTAAATCCATGTTTCTTCAATTGATCTAAAACAGCTTTTCTATTTTCTTCTTTTCCCCAAAAAGTCATTTGCAAAGGCATGGTGAAAGCATTGTTTGCACCAAAAGGAACTACCCTATTATATTTAGGAGAGAAAGAAAAGGGGAAATTTGAAGAATGTGTTATCCTAATTAAGAATCTGTTAAATATCCCACTGTACCTTCAAATTTTGAATGGAAATAAAGTAGGAAGACACTGACCACTTGGAAGGACTTGAGAGAGAAAAAGGACAGGATAGAAAATCAGCGAGGAACAGAATGTCCAAAGAAACACACCAAGGGATAAAATAGTGCAAAACACAACTGTTTCTACACAAAACTACAAGATAAAACATTCTATAAATCCGTTTGACGGTGAAGCCTTGGTTAAAAGAATCACCAAAGGTGGATGCTGGGGGAAGATGGGAAATGACCTGCAGGAACTAGTTCTAATCCAGGATTCACTCAAATTCATTCTCAGTACATGAATATCCTAAGCATTAGAACTGGGGTATGAATATTCCAAATACTTAAATTGAGATAACAAATATAAACTGCTAAAAGAGAAAAGGTAACCAAGAGGAATATATCAGAGCTTAAAAAAATAAAAACAAAGAGATGGAAGAAGTGAGACAGCATGTGCCTTAGCTGAAAGAAGAGCTACTATGAGTTCCAGTCAACTGATGGCATGTGGAGATGAGGGTCCAGCATTAGCCAGTCTCCCATTTATAAAGAGAAAAATCTGAAGTTTTCCATTTAGGAAAAAGAACTAGGAAATAGAAAATGTAGATATCCAGATTTGGATACTAGAAATAAATAAAAATAATTCCAAAACAGCAGGTAAAATGAAACTCACCTACATCTGATCACAGGCTACCAGTTTACAACCTTTGATTTATACACATTTCTGAATTCCCAAATCTACACTTGATAAGGTTGGAGAGATGGAGTACACTTCCCAACAGGTGACCCATGGTCTTTTTCTCCATGGTACAACTTAACAGGAAAGCAAGAGGACAGCTATTGGATGGCTACGCAGTAAAAGAACTGGACAGGTTAACTAAAGGGACAGTATCAAAAGGCACCACAACACTTTTATAGGACTTAAGAGGCCCTAATAAGTTCTAAGATAGTTTCGACTCACAATACGAAAACCAAACTCTAAAAGTACGTTACCCTTCCACTTGTGCCAATTTGTTGTCCATGATATAGGCCAAAGCAGCTGCCAGATCTTTCTTTAAATGTCCAACCTGATTTCCATTCACATTGTTTACTTTAATGGCATTCTTATCATAGGGGTTATTAGGCTCTCGTTGTAATGCAACCATTTCATTATTATTAACCTAACAAGAAAAATGAGCAGATAAGAACATTATTAGAACTATGAACAAACAATAATAGCTTGACTTCATTATATTTTACCTGAAATTTCTATTCATTTTTTAATGCTACTTCTACACAGTTTATTCATCTGGAATCAAACCAGAAATACAAAGGAAAATATTTTACAATGATTCTTTTGTACAACTTTTCTAATTTATATTCACTGTGAAGTTAATAAACCAGCAATAACTTCTGAAAAATAGCTTACCTTTCCTAAGAGCTTACTATATGCCAAACATTGTTTGACGTACACTACATAGTGACCTTTTAAACCCTCACAATTCGTAGGCATATAATTATTCTCATTTTACATACGAAGAAACTAAAGCACAGAAGTCATTTGCTTGAGACCACAAAGTTAATTAAGTATCAATGCTAGAACTGGAACCTAGGCAGGCTACTTCTTGAGCCACAATTCTCTAGAATTTAGAAAGGAAAAAGGCATTTGTAACTCAGAATGGAACTAGCATAAGGAAAATATATCCAGCCTCCAACCCATGCTATTTTCTGATTCAACTTGATTAAAAACTGTGAAGATGGCAACGAAAATAACATAAGAATTTCCAAAGTTCTCTCCTCCATAAAAGCAGCAGAAAAACTGTCCAAACTGATACAATCAACTTTTCCAGAACTCTGTGAACTAATCCAAGGCTGGAAGAAGTTTAAGGAGTGCTTATCAAGAAAAACAGCTGAATATAAATGCTTCAGTCTCCTTCCCAACTCCCCAGCTACAGAGCAGCCTTTAAAAACATCAACCCACTGAGATTCTTACAGCAGCCTGGCATTCAACAGGGTGGGCAGGGTGGAACTGCAGGTTTTTCAAAGACCCGAAAAGCCACCATTGCCTGGCCCATGTCATGGTTCCCTACAACACTCTGCTCTCTGGCTGTATTTGAACTCTTAGCTCACCTCAGAGGCAGGTGAGAAAGCTTCCTTGACCAAGTGTTCATCAGACACAACTTTACAGGCAAGTATCTTAACGCTATTGCTGCTTGAGGAATGGATAATAATCAGAATAATAATAATTAAAAAAAAAAAACAGAATAGAAAAATCAAAAGTCTAAACGGAGAAGCTGGGGAATGAGATGTCAATAGGTGCTTTGAAAAGCTCCAATATATCCCTGGCATTCTAAAAGGCCACATGAAAACACAGGACTACCCATTTGACCATGAATGTGCACATTCTCAGCAAAGACCTGAGAAGGCCCTATGCGCCTGTCTCTGGCTGAACTCGAGGCATTTAAGAAGCAGGAAATAAAGGCTAAGGCAGAACTGTTCCCAGCCCTGGAGGTTTGAAGGAATGCCCCCAACATACACAGGCACTCTAGGCAAAGGCTGGGAAATCGATTGGTTCTAGTACAACCATTAACTGACCACTAAGCCAAGTACATGCTTCAGTGACTACACACAATGAATAGACTTTATAGAATTAATTCAGAAAAGTCACTAGCAAATACCAATTACCAAAGCTAGCAATAATAAACAACCCTAGAAAGAGAGAATATAATTTCCAGAGTTGAACATTACTTTCAATGCCCATTTTACACAAGAAAAGCACAAGTCATGCAAAGAAAGGGCAAAGCATGGTCTATACATAGAAAAAAACAGCAATCAATATGAACTATACCCTAGGGAAGCACAGATGTTCGACATACTAGAAAGAGACTTTAAGTCAACTACTTTAAATATGCTGAAAGACAGCAAACCATTTCTTCAAACATGAGAACTCGATCTCAAAGAAATTCTGGAGTCAGAAAAATAACTGAAATAAAAAATTCAGTAGAGAGGCTTAATAGGTGACTTGAATAGACGGAAGAAATAATCAGTGTAATTTAAGATAGGTCAACTGGGATTTAAACAACAGAACAAAGAAAGAATGTAAAAACATAAACAAACAGAGCCTCAGAGATCTGTGTGTCAACATCAAGTATACAAACGCATACATAATGAGTGCCAGAGGAGAGGAGAAAGGAGCAGAAAAAACATCACAAGAAATAATGGCTGACAATGTCCTGAATTTGATGGAAAACATTAATCTACACATTTAGAATCTCAACAATCGCCAAGTAAAATCAATTCAAGAGACACACATCTGGACACAGCATCATCAAACTGTCGAAGAATCTTGAAAGCAAGCAGCAAGAGAAAAGCACCTCTTCACATACAAAGACTTGATTTCTCATCAGAAATGAGGGAGGCCACAAGAGAATGAAAAAACTTCTCAAAGTGCAGAAAGAAAAAAATTCAATCAAGAATTTTATAGCTTGCAAAACTACACTTCTAAAATGAAGGAGTAGGGCATAAATGGCACATGCACTGCAATCTCAGTTACCCGGGAGGCTGAGGCAGGAGGATCCCAAGTTCAAAGCTGGCTTTAGCAACTTAGCAATATCCTGTCTCAAAGCAAAAAAATAAAAAGAGCCGGGGTGCAGCTTGGTGGTAAAGCACCCTTGGGTTCCAGTCCCAGTACCCACCCACCTCCCACACACACACAAAGGAAGGATAAATTAAGACATTCCTAGAGAAACAAAAACCAAGAGAATCCATCACCAAGCAGAAATACTAGAGACAAGCAGAAACCCAAAAATACTAAACACTAACTTGAATCCACATGAAGAAATTAAGAGCAGGTAAAGATAATTATTTACACTAAAAAGAAAAAAAGACAGTATAAATGGATTTTTGTTTGTAGTTTTTTTCCTCTTCACGGATTTTTTTTGTGTGTGTGTGGTGCTAGGGATTGAACTCAGGGCCTTGCACATGCTAGGAAAGTGAGCTATGTCCCTAGTCTCTCTCAACTGATTTTAAAGTACATAAGATAATTACTATAAATCTGCACTGATGTACACAACATAAAGACATAATTTGTGTAATAAGAGCACACACACAAAAAAGGGGTAGGATGGAGATATCTAGGAGCAAAGCGTTTATTGAAATTAAGGTGGCCCAAATCAAACTAGGGTCTTACAATAAATTCAGATGTTAACTGTAATCCTTATGACAATTACTAATAACTCAAAGTATGTTTTAAAATAAATAAAATTTTATGGTACACTAGAAAATACCAGTTTAATACACAAGAAGGCAGCACTGGAGGCCAGACCCAAAGGCCACATACTGCCTAATTCCATTTATATAAAATATCTAGAGCAGGCAATTCTACAAATTAGGCAGTTCAGGGACACCAAGATTGTAGAGACAGGGTAAAAGAAGGCATTGGAGGACAAGACAAGGAGTCAGTCCCTCTTTATAGTACGTCCCCCTACCATGACCATTCCTGCCACTGAGGACTTATCACCATGACATCTCCCACCAAAGGTTTGATATTTTAAAATGACCAATTGGGGTAAAGTGGGCGATATTCTAATTAGGTTTTCTAAAGTAACCAATGGGGGGAAAATTGGAAAATAGATTCTTTGAGGTACCAAAAGGTAACCAATAGTAGCAAATGGGGTAAGGTAGTCAATCAGGTCTGTATAGGGAAAAGAACATCCCACAGCTCAGCATGTAAGACCCTAATTTCCAGGCACTGGGGCCTTAAGCACCTCTCTTTCTCTCTCTCTCTCTCTCATCCCATTCCATTCTACCACAGAGTGTTACCTTCACCTTCAATAAATCTGTATTTTGCCTGTTACTTCTGTGTGTCTTGCTCAATTCTTTGTTTGGGACATCAGGCACCAAGGATCTGGACTTCAAATGGACTTCCCAATGGTAACTTAAGCAAAAGAAAACAGCTAGGGTACAGCTTAGAGATAGAGTGCACACCTGGCTTGTAAGGCCCTGGAATTCCAACTGCAGTACTAAAAAAACAGGACTGGGGATATAATATAGCTCAATAGTACAACAAATGCAAGCATGAGGTCCTCAATTACAACCCCTACCCATGTGTATTCTGTTATTGCTTTATAAAATAAATGTGTGTGTGTGTGTGTGTGTGTGTACATGTGCACGGAATGTTGGTTCAGGGCTGGGGGCACTGCTCAGTGGTAGAGTGCTTGCTTATCATGTGAGAGGCCCTAGATTTAATCATCAGCACTGCAGAAAAGAAAAATAGCAAAAAAGAAAAAAAATTTTGTGGTACTAGGATCGAAGTGAAAGGTGCTCTAGCACTAAGCTACAACCCCAGCCTGTCCTATTTTTTGTTTTGCTAAGTGGCCAAGGCTGGTCTTGAACTTGTAATCCTCGAGCCTCTACCTCCTAAGCAGCTGCTGGGAGTATAAGCACACACTGCCAGGCCCAGCTGAAAAATAATAAATTTGATAGTATGTAGACTATCCTAATTTTTTAATTTCCTGAAGATACAGGAAAACTGCTTTGAACCTCTCCCAGCATCTGTCTACTGATTCAAGACATTTTGCATGGTACAAAGAATTAAGACACAAAAGGATATAAAAACACAAAAAGCATGGCTGTATTCCCAGTGGCTCAGGAGGCTGAGGCAGGAGGATCACGAGTTCAAAGCCAGTCTCATTAACTTAGCAAGGCTCTGTCTCTAAATAAATAAATAAATAGGGTTGGGGATGTGGTTTGGTGGTTAAGTACTTCTGGGTTCAATCCCCAGTACCAAAGAAAGACAGACTTGGGCATGAGAGCTACAGGACCGATAGTTTATCAAATAGGAACTGATACAATTCTAGCTGGGCACAGTGGCTTACACCCATAACCCCAGGGGTTTGGGAGGCTAAGGTAGGAGAACTGCAAGTTCAAAGCCAGCCTCAACAATAGTAAGAAGCTCAGCAACTCAGTGCGACCCTGTCTCTAAATAAAATACAAAATAGGACTGGGGCTAGGTGCAGTGGCACTCGCTTATAATCCCCGTGGCTCTGGAGGCTGCGGCAGGACGATCAACTTCAGCAAAAGCCAGGGGCTAAGAAACTCAGTGAGATCCTGTCTCTAAATGAAATACAAAAGAAGGCTGGGGATGTGGCTCAGTGGTTGAGTGTCCCTGGGTTCAATCCCCAGCACCAAAAAAAAAAAAAAAAAAAAAAAACTGATACAATTCTAAAAAGAACTAGAAAAAGAAAAGCCATTTTAAGACTAAATTAAAAGAACAAAAGAGTGAACAGACATGGTAAGTGGTGGAAAATTAAAAAATGAAAAAATATGAGGAATAACAAAGACATAGGTATACAGCAGTCTACAGGGGTGCGGAGTGGGGAGACAGAATATGAAGTCGCTGAAAAAGAAAATGAGCTTTGGAACAAAGCAAACACTCAAAACAAATTACAGAAAATTTTCTTAAACAGAAGAAAACAAATTTACAAAATTAAGACATACCCTAAAAACACTATTAGAATTTCAGGGTAAAAAATAGACATATCTTTTAGTCATCCTGAAAAAAAAGAAAAATTCCAACTCACTTAAGTGGACAGAAAATCATACTGGCATCAGAATTCCTATGAACATCTGATGCAACATTAGGATATGGAGAGTAATTTGGGTCTAGAATTTTATAGTCAGCCAAACTTTCTTAAGTACAAAAAGTCAAAATTAATAACATACAAAAACTCAGGAAAAATTGTTCTTTCCTAAGTCATCTCCTACACAATACAGTTCAGATGATCACCAAACAATTTGAGAAGCTCCAATGTAAACAAAATGAGACAATAAAAGACTAGACAATACTGGAATATGAAACTTTTACACAAGAAATCTCCTGCAGAACATACTTCAGACAATTAAAAAGATGGTTTGACAAGCTTCAACATAGGAAAAATATGGGGGAATAAAAAAAAACTACCAAATCCACAAATTTCTACAAAAGATCTGGGTTTTGCCACAAAACTATAGCATGAAACAAGGAGGAAGGGGCCTTATGACCCATTATAACCAAAAATAACATATGTGCCTTGTCTTGACGCTGATTCAAAACAAAACAAAACAAAAAAATCAAAGACATTTTTTAAAAGTCAAGAGAATCTATTTATGGGTTACTTATTAGATAGGATATAAAAATAAAATGTAAGACGTGTAAAAATTTTGAGAAATACATATTGAATTATATTAACATAAAATGATATATTCGGAATTTGCTTTTTACAATACAAAATGGACAAAGAAAACAAAATGTGGGAAAAAACTTTGCTGGAGAATCTAGATCATAGATATAATGTAAGTTTATCGTATTCTTTTATTTTCATGCATGTTTAAAATTCTTCTTAGTAAACTCATAAAATAAGAGCTATAGTATCCAAATGACACAAGAGGCATCCTCAATGACCATAACAAAGACACCTCCAACCAGAAAAAGTTATATTCTCTGCCCTATTCCCTTTCTCTCATACACACATACACATAATTCACAACAGATACAGAATAATAGGGAAAGGAAAGGCAGAAGATACTTTATAGTATCTCTGTATTTTGGGTAAATCTTTTAACCTCAAAGAGGATACCTCTCTTAGTTACTGTACGAATCAAATGATGGTGCAAAGCGCTCTGAATATTGAAAGCAGGCTATAAATGCAAAAGAACAATAGTAAAGTAAGGAAAATAAATTATTTGTTATCTCTTGCTTACATATATTTCATATATCACCTTCTAACACTCTTGTTTTCTAGGTTAATACCACAAATACACCACGATTTAATTTAATATCTACTTTTATACTCACTACTCCTGTGTAATAGCGTAGTCCAACTACATGACCTCTCAAAGTTCCAAATAACACTGAATCCAGCTCTTCATCACTAGTTAGGAAGTCATCTGGAGGGATAATATCTTGGAATTCAAAACGTGGAAAGAAAGTTGGGTATGAGAGGCGTGGAAAATTTCCATGGACTCCATACTGAACAGTCTGCAAATACTTCCAAACAGGATCCCTAATAAAGACCAAAAAAAAAAAGCACAGAAAATCTACAGTATTTAACCAATAATTTCTCAAAAACCACAGACCAATAGCATTTATAGATCAATGGTTTCCTCACTTTATTTTAGCAAACAAATTATCTTATGTGGGAATCCCTGTGAACAGATGAATAGCTATTCTGGTTAAAGCTGGAATTGAAGGAGTCCAGGAACCCTACCTGTTCAACACCAGCTCTTTTACCACACCTCTGCCCCAATTCAACATGAAAACCCAGTAAGGGTTGACAAAACTCTTTCCTAGTGAAAGTCATCTATTGAAATTGAAATGTATGGACTTATGATTATATGCCAAAATTCCAATGGCGACTGATCTAGAAGAGATTCGCAAAAACATAACTATTAGACATGAAGCTGTTCCTATCTTTTCAGATAATGCATCCAGCATTCATTACTTTAATTCCCTCCGAAGAGCACGCATTTTATTAAGATCTCCACACTAAGCCATCATGGGAAGCAGACCTCAAGCGCCCCCTTAACCAAGCTCCTCCACCCATTGGTTAAAGAAAATTTTTATGGATAATTATTTCAGGAATAGGCATAAAAACTACTCTGGACGATGAAAAATGAGATGTCTGTGCGGGGGCCTCCAGAAGTTTCCACTGGAAGCGACAGTCGCTATTTGCTCTGCGTTTTCCTGGCGCGTCGCGCATTCCTCTTTCAGCTCTTCTGCAAACACATATTCGCACATCTATGCGTGCACATGCATGGTGACTACTTGGGGACAGAGCTGCCGTTCTCGGCCTCCGCTGGACTGCAAGGCCTAGCGCACAGTGGGTGTCTAATGGATGTCGTGTGGAATAAAGCACCCGCCGGGCAGCTGAGCGCGACCCCCCGCAGTCCGTGACAGAGCTTTCCCAAGGCCCTGGCACGAGACTCGCCCGAGGAGCTGCTCCTCGCAGGCGAGACAATGCGTCGATTCCTCCCGTGGCCGCAGGAGAGGCCGGCAGACGGGAAACCGAGCTGCACGGTGCGCAGCGAGCGCGGCGGCAACGCACGGAAGGTCAGGTTCACTTGGGGACGCCGCCAGGCCGTTAGCCCCAGCGCCCCACCCCCTCCGCCCCCTTCACCTCTTGAACATCCAGGACATGGTGCTGCGTGGGGTGACCCGAGGGACGCTGCGCGCCCGCGAAGGCTCTTGAGCCGCCTCGGTCAGTTCCTTCCAGGCCTCGCAGCCCAGAAGCCAGGGGCAGGCTCCGAACGCTGAACCAGGAGCGCAGCGCTGAAGAGCAAGGCGCCTCGCGTCTAGGCGGACGTAGTCGTCGTCTCCGGCTAGCAACAATCTGAGACCCGCGACGCTCGGTGACTGGCACTGAGAACGTCCAATCCGGAGGAGGAGCCTGCGGAGACGACCCAATCGGGACACGGAAGGGAGGGCAACTTCGCCCCGCCCTGCGATTCAAAGACGGCGGGGGGTCCCGGCTGCAGGGGCGGTTCCATCCGGGTTCTTCCCCGCCCCCAGGGAGGGCGCGCGGGAAAGCCACGCGGCCCCGAGTGCGAGCGCGGTGCCCGCGGTGCTCGTGGCGTGTGCTGCGTTCCCTGTCCCCACCCGGGGGAAACAACTCTCCCTAACAATGTTGCCCGCAAAGTCTAGCCGCATTCTGCAGGTCCGACCTCACATTAGCTCTCATTGCTTGTCATATCTGATGTACAATATGGTCTTCACAGAACGGGTTTCTCATTTTAGGAGACCAGAGGCAATCAGTGACAAACTGTTTACCTTCATTTTCTGCCGCCAATGCTGGGACTTAGCGCTGACCTTTGTTATTTTAAAGCGTGGTCGGTGTATGTGAGACACATCGAGTTCAGAAAATGTTAAAAGGAATGTATAGATTGGCTTTTCCATTTTTTGTTGTTCTAAAGGAAATTTTTCATGTTTTTGGTACAAGACATACATAGGATGATAGCACAACTAAGGTGGTTGACCATAGTTGGAAATGGCCGCGATCGATATGGCTGCCGTGGAAGCAAAATTCATGCCTGGGCCTGCTGCAGTCTAGAGCTGGAGATGCTGGGCCTTGGCCTTGAGGGGCTGAGAAGATGGTGCTGCCGGTAAAAGCAGCTGCACCCGCATCAGGATAGGAAGTTGGTGGTGGCACTGAGCTGCTTGTGGGGCGCAGTGTGACTGTCAGAATTGCTGGATCAGAGAGGAAATATGATTGTACATGTGGTAAGTATTGACACTTGCTTTCCATCAAATTGTCCATTTTATGCTTCCATTTGCAGAGTATGAAAGGTGGTCAATGAAAGTTTTTCAAGAGGCGTTTATTCATTACCTTAAGGGGGGATCTATTACCATAAGCCAGAAATGGAATGAGAAAGTGTGTGTGTGTGTGTGTGTGTGTGTGTGTGTGTGTGTGTGTGTTTTGCTGGGGATGGAATCCAGGGCCTCAGGCATGCTAAGCCTGCACTCTACCGCTATGCTAAATCCCTACCCCCAATGATATATTTTGAAACAAATTTATTTCTTAATTTAACCAAACAGAAGTTAATGAGGAATGTAACGATAATAGCATTTTCAAGTTATTCCACTTTATTGAAAGTTTTAGGAGGCAAATGGCAATGCACTTCAACTTTATTGTGCCAGACTCAATAGATTTTTGGAAAATATGCCAGAAAATGCCCAGACTGATAATATTTTGTGTGTATAGTTAGTGAAGCCATATTCATTAGACGGAAAGATAAAATCCCAAATGTAGGAACATGGCTCTTTCAAGACTTAAAATCTGTGAATTACAACTGTCCCATGGTTAACGAATGTGGTATATAAAGTAATACTTAAAAATCAAAACTTTTTTTCACATTGTCAGCATTTTTACATCCCAGAATCAAAAACTGAACTTGAGTATTCTTTGACTTAATCATTCTTCTTTACTTTTTATTTTCCAAAAGCAAGCACAATTTGTACTGTTTTGATTAAAATGCTACAACTTATCACACTAGATAATGTTTTCTGAAAAATAAACATTTGTAACTGGAAGAACAGTAGGGTGGCTTATGTGTTGAATGAGTAAGGAGGAGAGATGGCACAAAAAGAGGAAGGAGAAGAAAGTCAAGGCCAGATGACATAGGAATTTATGATCCATCTACAGTAAAGTTTGTGCTTTAACTGATGAATAGCCAATGAGTGCTTTAAGCAGGTAAATGGTGATGTAGGCTCTTAAAAACTTCACTCTGGCTGCTGTGTGAAAAATGGATTATTAGGGGACAAAAATAGAAGCCATTGATAATTAGGAAAATATTGTGCTCAGGTAAGATACTCGGTGGCCTGCAATGGGGAAATAGATAAAGCTAAGAGAACCAGCAAAGCTACCTGAAAAGTTTGCATATGGGAGATGAGGAAGGGGAAGGAATCCAAAATTACTCCAGCCACCCACCTCCTAAGGGCACTTTCTCTTCCTCCCCCCACCCTTTATGCAAATTAATCTTGTCATTCTCCTGTGTGTCCCAGTGAGCATGAACTCCAAGCATGGCATGTGTGGCTCTTTATGATTTGTTCCCTCCCTCCCACTCCAGCTTTAACTCCCTTCACTTCCCAATGCCCCCCCCCCCCCCATAATGTCCTTACTAATTTCTCTGAAAACTATGAATATTTCCATGTATAACAAAAAGACCATTATCATACCTAGTAAAATTAATAACGAATCAATCCTCAGTATCTCCTAGTAACTAATTCATAATCAAATTTTCACAATTAAAAAAAAAACTTTAAGAAGATGAACACTCAGATATGTGCCTTCAATACAAAAACTTCCAAGTTTATGTTACATTGAATAAAATTTTGCTTGTTTTGTTCTTTCACCCCAAAGAAAAGAAAGTTCCATGAGGGAGAATTTTCAGGAATGACAGATGGGAGGGTTTTTGCAGAGTAAATTTCCTAAGTGGCTCTTAAGGAAAGGGGCCTGGAGTGCCATCACACTGGATCAAGGTCCACAAAGGGAGGGGTGTCAAAGCCTAGCAAAGTATCCAGAGAGCCCCATAAGAAAAGGGAGCTGTGCCTTATTCCACAGAGCCTAATCTCAGGATCCTGCTGATCTTAGAGAAAGTCTGAGAGACCAGCAATGTGGCAGGGCAGTATAGGAGTGAGGAGGCTCTGCTAAGGGCCCCAAGGGCAGCCTTGTAGAATCCCAGGAGAGTCCTGCAAGTAGTCTGCAACCCTGTGAAGCAGAGAAGCTGGGGCTTAGTCAATCTTGGCTCCAGCAAGCAAAAGCAGGAGGCTGGTCCCCAACAATGAGTAGGGAGGAGTTGCATTGGCAGGGGTGTCTGCAGATGAAAAGAGTTCAAACATTACTCCCTTGGAGAATAAGAGGGAGTAATAGAAAACTGAATTTAATTTACATTAAATCCTAAAATGACTAAATTATCTCCCATTGGGTAGACTGAAGGTCTAATATAAGTTCAATAAAAAACCAAAATTTACCTTTGCATATGGCATCAGTGATTGTAATTCATACATCATGTCCACCCACATCTCAATGAATTGACACCAGATTATATAGCAGATACCTCTGGCTGGTCAAACTAAGGAGTTTTCTTTCTTTCGTTCTTTCTTTTTTTTTTTTTTTTTCTTCATAGTACAAGGATTGAACTCAGGACCTTTGCATGTTGGGTAAATATTCCTTTATTGAGCTACATCCACAGCCCTTTTATCTTTCATTTTGCAACAGAGTCTCCCTAAGTTGCCCAGGCTGGCCTTGGATTTGGCCTGCCTGAGCCTCCCAAGTAGGTGGCATTACAAGCATATACTACTATACCTGAGCTATTTTCTATTTTTTGTTGTTTATATGTATGCAAAATGTTCTCATATTGATATATATTGCTTTTCTGACAAACAATAAACTCTAGAAGAAATTATAGTAATGAACTATTTTTCAACTACTTTTGACTAATTTTATACTTAAAAAAACCTTTAAAATTAGTACAGATTCTTCTCTTGTCTCCCTTTCTCTGCTTATTTCAACTCCATACAGAAACATAGTACAATGATCAAAACCAGGAAATGAACATGAGTACAATACCATTTCTGAGCCTTTTTAAAAAATTACCAAAGAAGACAATGTAGAGGAAATAAGAGAAAATAATTTGTGACTTAATTATTTGCAGCTAAATCTTCTTACATTTAATCAGGCCCCTGCAGATTCTAGGGCAGAATCCTGGGTAAACCAAAGCTGTCAGGGCAAAAGAAGTGATGTAAAAATAATGCCCTGTTAAATTCCTAATTAAATAATACAATGAATATCAAGCGCCTGCCCTAAAGCAAGAGCTCAATAAATAGTCTTATTATCATTACCATTATTGTTGTAATAGAATTATTGCCTAATGAGCCTTTTAGTGCTTAACAAGGAATATGGTTGATTGAGAACTATTTCCTGATTGGCACTCCATCAGCAGGGTTGTCCCTAAACACCAGAAAAAGAGTTAGCTGAAGCTAGTCATTTTCCCAGATGCATGTCCTTGAAACTGAATTGTTTCTAATCCAAGACCAGGAGACTGTTCAAGCTGGACTCCCACCCAGAGAAGTATGTGGTGCTCCAGATTGCACCAGTCTTTCCCAGGAGATAATTCTTCCCTCCTCCTTTGGACTCTAAATGCTCTTCCGTTGTCCAAGCCCAGAGTTGCTGAAGCATCAGACCTGCCTGGGACTTGTGGCCCCTTTGTCTCCTGCCCAGGGAGTTCTCCCAGTTTCAAAAAAGTAGGGCTCTAAGTCTCACTTTATATTTAAATCCAAGCAGAATTATTTAGGGGTTCTGTCATATCCATGGCTAAAGTTATCTTTTTATTTTAATGAATACTATAAAGATTGGTGAAAATTTTTTTCTGCCTTTTTATAGTTAAAAAATTAAAAGACTAAAACTTTAAACTCTACATGCACTTTCAATATGATTTTAAAAAGACTTTTTTTAAATGTGAAAAACTACTCAGTTTTTTAGTGATCATCAACATTTACCAAACTTTTGCATTCTACAACTAACTTTACAAATGTGAGAATGAAAGTTTAACGTTCCATTTCAATGAGTCATTTAGAAAGGTTTTATTTTTTAATGCAAAATATCAAACACATCTCTCAACTTAAAGAGAATATAAAACATTTCATCAGATTTTTAGAGGAACTTAATCTCCTGATCTAACAGAATTAGAAATTCAAAGAGAAT